TTTTCATTATTATATTTTAAGTTGACTGGAGAATCTTTTTTTTCTAAGTGTTTTGAATTCACAAAACAAAAGGAATTCGATTTTTATTGATTCTTGAGAATATTTGGAAGGATTGATTCTTGTAAACAACTAAAAAATATTGATAGGGTAAAATGAAATATCGAATATTATATAAAGATATTTCTATTGCCAGAACGAAGAACAAATTCAGAAATTTGCATGACTTCAAATATCGACATATCTTTCAGAAGCATTTTATTCCAATTCCGTGCACAGAATAACTCAATATTGTTTCAAAACGAAACGTACAATACAAACTCAAATACTTTTTGTGCTATACAGCATGAAAAATCGGAATCTTAGATTAGTTTTGGAAAGCACGCTTACCTTACCCGAGAAAAAATTAAAAAAAACTTTTTTAGTTATAGTACAATTAATATAATTTTGTGTTCAAATAAACAAAAATAATTTCAATCAATCTGTAATTTCATTATAAATAAATTTTTGGATTGAAAAAAACTCTGAATGATAGATGAATTTTAATTTCGTGGTATAAAATTATCGTATTTTATAATTACCATAGATAATGCTAGCAATATAATCCTACTCAATGTTAATCGCTTGACATTCACAATATATCGTGACCATACAACACTGTTAGAAATTTCTCGAAAAAATGGTTAAATAACAATATCTTGAATGGCTAATTTACCATATTTAATCAAAACTGCCAAATAACCATAAATAAAATGGTAATCAAACTGTTAAGTTTGAGAAAGACTGCTTATTAACTTCTTTAACTTAATACGGTTAAACAACCAGAATTTTATCGCACCAACTAGAATCACCTAATGAAGCTACTTAGTTTTTTGAAATTGCTTACATATCATAGCCGAGTGGGCTTATCTGTCAATCTCATGACCGGCAGAACTGGAGTTCGAGTCCTAGTGTTGACACCACAATATTTCCCCCATTCCCTTCAACACATGAAGAATTTCCAGTGTCCGGCAACATCCAATGCCCATTACCTTACGAAAAGCAGAGCTCATATATCTAGTTAAATAATTCATTTCTCTTTACGTTTTTGAATAATGCTAGTTGTAAATGGGTAAAAAACCGTCTAGTTTTGTATTCATGGTTCTATAACCATACTTTTCGAAAATGGTTTCAAAACCATAAAGGAAAAAAATGTTCTTTATAGTAAACTTTACGGTTAATCGGATGAACAGACAGCTGCCAGTTATTTTACCATAATTTTTGAAAGAAAATTTTAACAGTGAATGAAGTGTACTGATGTTATCAATAAAATATTAATACTCTGCTTTATATTGCGTAAAAATGATTGCATTAATCAACGACAAATCAGAGTAAAGTCATGCATCATAAATCATTGCATGAGTTCAATGGTTCTGGGAACTTTTTATATTTATATTAATGTATTTTTATATGAGGCCATTTTTTAGATTTTTCTTTGTGTTTGTTAAATTAGTTTTATTAACTAACGGTTTAATTTTAAAAACATGGAAAAAAGCAAAATATTTCCGTTCAATACTGCAAAAATATATTTTCTTTCAAAGCTGAGATTCTTATTTGATTTTTATTTTTGTTTGTAATCTACATGCAATTGTTACTGAGCGATGGTATAACTATTGATCCAAATATTTTAACCTTTAAAGTGTGTTTCAGTTTGCATAATTTTATTTATTTATGTATCAGTCTTATTAGTGTTCTATCTTAGACCAAAAGACAAAGAGAAGCCGTTCACTGGTTTTGAAAAAGGGAATGAATCGACATTTCTTATAGACTTAGGTACTAAAAATTACGAGTAATACAAAATAATATCAATAATTGTATGTAAGCAAGTTTTGTTGAATCAATAAAGATTGCAATCAAGTAACATTGTTTTATTGTTATCCAAAACTAGTGATTATTTCAAAAGAATACTTCCAATAATTCCAATAAATGTGCAAACTTAAAATAAAAAAGAATAATGTTTGTTTCAATAATAAATTCAATGGTTTACTTTTTGAAGTTCCCCTTTATGATGGTACATAGAAATAAATTATATTATACTAAAGCTAATGAAACTTGTTTTAATCACTCTATACACTAAAAATCCATTTAGGTGTTCAACTTAACGTTACTTTTTGTTTTGCTGCATGTTGGCTGTAACAATTAGACGCATGAAACAATAAAGAGGTTAATGTGTATAGAGTATGAAGGAATAAATTTCGACAATTGGTTAGAAAATTAGAAGTTGTATAGTTAAGAAAAAGCGTAAGCTGCTCTACAGACTAAAAATTGAAATTTGACTGGTTGAAAGGTGTATTTTTGCTGATAAATTTAACATTGACTTTTTATAATTATCAATATGATTATAATTTTGATATTCTGACTTCAAAAGCTATTGCTTCTTTAATTGACATTACCACGAGGTTTTACTCACTTTCTTCTTTAAAAACTTTCTACTATGTTTTCCAAAAATACACATATATGTCAAGAAGTTGAAGAAATTTCATTAGTTCAGAGAATATGTAGCGCGAGCATACAGGTGGGTATTATGATTTTTTTAAAAAAAAAAATCATCTTTAGTCTAAATACACGAAGTCCTATACTTACACTAGAGTCTTAAATTTTATGTAATGCAGAGATGTTTCTAGATAAAAATTTGAGAGTCAAATTTTTACAAAATACTTCTAAATGTTTTTAAACATTTATAAAAGTTTTTTTTAAAAATCGGTTCTTGTCCAAATGTATTGCGCTGACATAACGGCGGACAATTTGGAAATGCTTAAAGTTTTTTGCACCTTGATTTGCACCTGAATCTAGATTCAACTTAAACTATGGGTGTCATATTTAATGAAAATGCCCATTCCTGTCCTTACAAATTTATCGAAGATTTTTCGCAATGTTATTTAGTTCAAAGTAATCGATTTCCAGAGCATATTTTGTGTTGACATAAAGGTAGCCATTTTGCAAAGTTTTAAAATTTTTTTTAGTTTGAGTGTTCGTTTGAAGCTTGAACTCAATCCAAAATACACAAGTACTTATAATATTACTCGTTAAAAATTACTGTCACTATGATACTTCTAATCTATCTATATATAAAAATGAATGTCTGCCTGTCCTTTAATCGAAGAACGGAGGTCGATGTCGAAATTAGACTATTTTACTGCTACCGGTTTGAGCAGGATAAACAAAAATCAAAATGGAATTTTCTGATTGATTAAGCGTTAGTCATAGTTTTAAATTAAACTGTAGACAATTTAATTTTGTCAAATATTTTAAGGATAATATCAGTGATATTTGCCAGCTCAAAGCTCTATTTGATGAAGAAAAGAGTTTACTGCACGTACTTTAATATTTAGTTAATTTTTGTTTGCTATGCCAGATAAATTCAATGTAGAACGTTAACGTGGTAGCATAGAAGGGCTATGTTACCAAATTAGTATTTTTAAAGATATCTGAAACCACAATTTTATTTTGTTCACAGGAATTCTTTTTAAACATGCTTCTATAGAAGTAAATAATTTAAAATCAACGGTAATTTCAATGAGAAAAAAAATTATTTTGCACTGAAAGGCAAAATTAATGGTAAAGTGGTACTAATTCGATTAGGAAGAGCGCAAAAATTCGTCATACTGCTATTGATGCCAATGATAGTAATTTGATTTCGATAATAGATGCGTACTGAGATAAAAGAAATAAACTATGTACTAAAAGGTAAAATATATAGAGTATCTTAATCGTTTAGAGGAACCGTAAGAAATTGCCATATTATTGATGTCAATGATGCTTAATTGACGTTGGTAATGTGTGTTAACTGAAATAAAAAAAAATAAGTACTAAAAATTTGCTAAAATATATACTAAAATATGTAATAAAATATGCACTAAAAAGCAAAGCTTAAGAAAAGGTAATTATTTGTGTAGGCGAACCGTAGAAAACGCCATATATAGATGACGCTTAATTAATTTTGGCAATTGGTTCAGTCGTAATAAGAATTGTACAGTGAACTTTGGCGTTGTTTTAAAAAATATTTTTTTGAGTGGCAGCAAAAATAGTATTTTAATATTTTAATGAATTAGAATTGAAAGAATTTTCCACAAGTACTTATAAATATTTTGAAGAGTATATTAAAGTTGAAATAATGAAAGTTCATATAAAAATCCTATAATAATTCGATTTGTTTTTAAAAATTCGGCTTTAGCTTGTTACCACTGACAAAAATATTTCGCATAAAATTTAAATAATGTGGATTTCTATATCAAATATAATAAATAGGTATAAAGTATTATATTGATATATTTGGTGATTATTAAAACTGCATTAATGCTTTGAAGTTTTAATACCGATACTGGAGAAATAAGTGTCTAAAGGTTCCTTGAAAGGGTTATATGCACCGAGGTTAGTTACTTGATATTGTTAAATTTTGACTATTAGGACGGAGTTGGCCGCGAGCAGTTTACATCATGCCAAGTGATGCTGAATACAGTTAATCTATATTCGGATGGGATAAACTGCAAAAACCATCGTTTGCTTAATTTAATAACGTAAAGTCACCAGAAAAGTAACAAATAATAAATAAAAAAAATTAAATTATTGTGTTGGTATATGCTTTTTAGTTTTCTGCATGATTTCATAGTGTTGTTCTGTACTAATGTATTGGTTATTTTTTGTCTTTTTCCCACTTTTCACGAAACATGGATATTCAGCTAGGTTTTTTTACTACATATTTTTATAATTGTTAAATTTTCTTAAAGAGTGCTCTTGGAAAACTATTTAGTTTCATTGTCAACAGCTATTTTCTTAGCTGCTAAATTTCGCTTTGTAATAAAATTTCTGCTTAAAAACCTAGATGGCTGAGAATTATGAACTATGAGAGCTGAGGTATGAAGAGAATTGTTGGCAGAGTCACCTAGTTGCGAAGAAATTAGTTAATTTGCTTTTCTAATAAAACCATTGATAAAAATGGGTTTTAAAAAAAGCATTATACTTACGCTGTAAATGGCTGTTTCATTGACATGGGTTACAAAAAAGGAATTGTAAAATATCTGCACGCCAATCAGACTGAATCTACAAAATATAAAAACAAATATGGAAACTGATAAGGAATAAAATAAATATGTCTTTATTTACTATTTTAAGCGGTTATAAGGTAGCATTAAAACATTAATAATTTAACAGTTTTAAATTATTTCACAAGTAAATATACTAAAATATAATTTAGCCTCGTTTTATTATTTCTTATGAGGTATCTTTACTGGATATACTAAATTTATGATTTGAAAGTAACATATATAAAACCGTAACTTGAAAGTGGAGCTTCCTGTCATCATTCGAAAGTGGTTCTACTAATATTTGTACATTAATTGAATGTTTGAAGTTTTGATTGGGGATATATTCTTAAAATTACTACATTGTAAAATATTTAAATTAGGGTATTAAGTACCGGTGCTTTTCACATTTAAACGTTTTTGAAACCTTGCCTGAATTTTTTAATCGGTGTCTTATGATTCAATTTTTTGTCTTTTAAGTCGAGTTCATACACGTAAGAAATAGGTACACGTGAAAAATAGGATATAGGTAAAAAAAGCTGATATGTACGTTAAAAAAATCTTGTTATCTGTTGTTATCTATTTTGTGGGTTATAGATAGGATTGTATTTTTTACCGTAATTTGATCCGGAATTTTTTACTTCTATTTCCGACTACAAAACCTTGGAAATCTCTATGTCTTACATTCAAATAGGAAGTTCCATTTTGAAAATAGGTACTTTATCATCTGGAAAGAGTATTTTGCCAAAACTAAAATCTTTAGTTAAATTTTGAGGAGAAGTACCCATCAGAATTTTCTTTTGCTGTTGTTATCCATTTTGTGAGTTACAGATTGGATTGTATTTTTTCCCCTAATTTGATTCAGAATTTTTTACGTCTGTTTCCGGCAACAAAACCTCGGAAATCTCTATGTTTTACATTCAAATAGAAAGCTCCATTTTGAAAATAGCAACTTTATCATCTGGAAAGATTATTTTACCAAAACTAAAATCTTTAGTTAAATTTTGAGGAGACCCACCCATCAGAATTTTCTTTTGCTGTTGTTATCCATTTTGTGGGTTACAGATTGTATTGTATTTTTTACCCTAATTTGTTTCAGAATTTTTACATCTATTTCCAGCAACAAAACCTTGGCAATCTCCATGTTTTACTTTCAAATTGAAAGCTCCATTTTGAAAATAGCTACTGTATCATCTGGAAAGAGTATTTTGCCAAAACTAAAATCTTTAGTTAGATTTTGAGAAGAAGCACCCATCAGAATTTTCTTTTGCTCTTGCTATCCATTTTGTGGGTTACAGATTGGATTGTATTTTTTCACCTAATTTGATTCAAAATTTTTTCCCCTAATTTGATTCAGAATTTTTTACGTCTATTTCCGGCAACAAAACCTTAGAAATCTCTATGTTTTACATTCAAATAGAAAGCTCCATTTTGAAAATAGCAACTTTATCATCTGGAAAGAGTATTTTACCAAAACTAAAATCTTTAGTTAAATTTTGAGGAGAAGCACCCATCAGAATTTTCTTTTGCTGTTGTTATCGACTTTGTGGGTTACAGATTGGATTGTATTTTTTACCCTAATTTGATTCAGAATTTTTACTTCCATTTCCGGAAACAAAACCTTGGCAATTTCTATGTTTTACTTTCAAATAGAAAGCTCCATTTTGAAAATAGCAACTTTATCATCTGGAAAGAGTATTTTACCAAAACTAAAATCTTTAGTTAAATTTTGAGGAGAAGCATCCCTCAGAATTTTCTTTTGCTCTTGTTATCCATTTTGTGGGTTACAGATTGGATTGTATTTTTTCCCCTAACTTGATTCAGAATTTTTTACGTCTGTTTCCGGCAACGAAACCTTGGAAATCTCTATGTCTTACATTCAAATAGAAAGCTCCATTTTGAAAATAGCAACTTTATCATCTGGAAAGAGTATTTTTCCAAAACTATAATCTTTAGTTAAATTTTGAGGAGAAGTACTAATCAGAATTTTCTTTTGCTGTTGTTATTAATTTCGTGGGTTACAGATTGGATTGTATTTCTTCCCTTAATTTGATTCAGAATTTTTTACGTCTGTTTCCGGCAACAAAACCTTGGAAATCTCTATGTCTTACATTCAAATAGAAAGCTCCATTTTGAAAATAGCAATTTTATCATCTGGAAAGAGTATTTTGCCAAAACTAAAATCTTTAGTTAAATTTTGAGGAGAAGCACCCATCAGAATTTTCTTTTGTTGTTGTTATCCATTTTGTGGGTTACAGATTGGATTGTATTTTTTCCCCTAATTTGATTCAGAATTTTTTACGTCTGTTTCCGGCAACAAAACCTTGGAAATCTCTATGTCTTACATTCAAATAGAAAGCTCCATTTTGAAAATAGCAACTTTATCATCTGGAAAGAGTATTTTGCCAAAACTAAAATCTTTAGTTAAATTTTGAGGAGAAGCACTAATCAGAATTTTCTTTTGCTGTTGTTATCGATTTTGTGGGTTACAGATTGGATTGTATTTTTTACCCTAATTTGATTCAGAATTCTTTACGTCTGTTTCCGGCAACAAAACCTTGGAAATCTCTACGTTTTACATTCAAATAGATTCAAATTCAAGATACATTAAAATAGATTCAAATTATTTTCAAAACTTCCATTTTGAAAATAATTAGAATGATCTTTTGTTCATACAGAAGACAAATAAAAGCTAACAAATTCTAATATTATATTGTAACAATTATTCCTAAGTATTTAAATGTTTCTTAAAGGAATATTATCGTACTCAGCATCCGAGTTGATAACTGAAGGTTTACCACCTTTGGTTGACAAAGTCTTGGCTTTCTTTAACAGGCGAAAGAAATCTGGATTTAATCGACTTGCTGAATTTATAAGATCATACTGATATTCCCTATAAATACATTAAACAACAAAATATTTTAAGTAGAATATAAGTATACAAAACAAAATCTTTATAAAATTAAAAATAAATTGTGTGATAAGAATTTAGAAAATCTTAAATTTTTAGAGAAAAAATAATTAAATTTTTGAGAAATAATATTTAATTTTTATTCATTATTCTATTATGTTATAATTAACTATAAAATAATCGGTAGTAATTTCTATTTTTGAAAACGAGGAATAATTAACGTTACTACAGAGTTCTCCTTAGGAACACAAAAAGCCGGGCGCTTCCTGACGTAAAAAGGCACTTGAAGGCACTCACATGGAGGGAAAGTTTTGAAAGGGAGCTAGCTCACTTACCTCCGTTAAAATTCATCAAAATGAATAAATTCATAATAACTGAATTTGATCCTCAAAATTTTTAAATTAAATTCTTATACTATTTTAAGTATATATTTCAAAAATTAATATTCTCCATTATAAAGAAATAATAGAAAATGTGAACTATTCAAAAATAATTAAAATCAAGTTAAAAAATATCTCTAAGAATAAATTTTCTTCGAAAAAAAGTAAATTATGAAACAGAATTAACTAATAAACAACTTGGTAGTTTTTTTTTTAAATTTTAAACTGAAAATTATGATTAAATATATCTGTAAAGATGCATTTTAATATAAAAGATATTTATTAAAAATAATAGTAAAATTTAAAATCGCTGAAAAATTCTTAAATTTTATAATAATTCTCCTCTCCCCCCAAAAAAGGAAATTAATAAAAATTTAACCAGTTGAAAATAATCCCTACTAAGTAACTATTTGCCATAGTAATCAGAATTAATTAATTTATTTATTCCGAATTTTTAATCGAATCAATTTTTCTAGAGTATAATTATTGCGAGATATGTGTATAAGATATATTTACATTTTAGTTTTTCTAATTTCTTTTTCTTATTTGTTTATCCATTATGGGGCCTCGGGGCACTGTCAGTTTTTGGTATTACCACTGACAACAGAAAGGCTCCTGTGTGTAGGCAGGCAGTGTGTTCCCTGAGGAAGTGTTGCTTGCTAACACAAATATCTTATAAATTTTTTTCGTTTTCTGCTAGAATAGTATTTCTGACTTAAAATGAAAGAAATTAATTATTTTAATTTGTTTCTAAATTAAAATGAAACAAATCTGGTTTTAAATGCTTTAAGGGCTTTTTCATTTTGATTTATTATTTTAAATGTTATTTACTTATTTTGTTTTTTTCTGCATTTGTAAATCAGTTTCATTATTTGATTAGATTAAATATTCATATTTATTCATGAAAATAAGGCATAATCCATTTAAAAATAAAACATTTTAATAAGTCAAATAGTTTTTAATATTTTGTATAAAAGCAAAATAAGAGAATAATGTATTTTTAAAATAGTAAATATGGAGGAAAACTTTCAATTCTTTTGGACTATATTAAATTTTATGTGTTTAAATTTAAACTAATGTTTATTGCTAAACAATTGTACTGATCAGTTTTAGATTTTAATTTTTTCTTTTCAGTGTGCTGGAAAAAATATACTTTTTCCTAAGGAAATCCGAACTCTGGTTAATAATCTGATATAACAGCACAATAACCTTCGAAAAATTTATTCCAAATTTTTGAAAGGAAAAAAAAATTGATATGAATATTTCTAGGGCCGAATATCATGCAAATTGTACCTATATAACTAGACAACATAAGAAAAATATTTTAATTAAATAAAGGAATGAAATTACGAATTACAGTTATTATCATTAATAATTTTCATTAAAACAGATAATTAAGAAAACAACCTTTTCTGGAAATATTAAAATAAAAAGGTAGTGTTTTTAAAGGATGGCGGCTTATTTTTACAAAAAGGGAAAAGAGGGCGCTTTCATAGGGATCAAAGTACAGGAAGACAAAGTACAGGATACTCTTCTAAAATCGCTTAGAGAGTACTGTAACTAATATTGAGTAAACTAACCATTGTTTGTAAGGTTTTTAAATATTTTGCTCGGTATACTTTCGGCTTGACATGATAGGCTTTTCGCCTATCGTAACTTGAGATCAAATGTTTTTAACTTTTCTGCCTTTGTAATTTTGGATTTTGCTTTGGATTTTTCATTAGTTTAGCTACTTTTAAATGTTGCATGGAAAATATTCGTATAACTTCTAGAGTTGTTCTACTGATACTGAAACTATTTCAAGCAATGACGGATGCTAGAAGTAAAAAAAAAATATATGTATTTATAAAATAAATGCCATTAATTAAATTGGATTATAAATTTCACAAAAGTTAGTTGATAGCCAATAGCTGCCTGAATCGTAACTGGTACATCAACTTTCTTTATGATATAATGTGCCACGATATTATGACATAATGTGCTACAAAATGATGGATGATACTTTTTCCTTCCTAAAGACAAGGAAAATTTTAAGTAAATAATAATGAGTAAACTAAGTCTTTTTTCACGATTTCAAATATTTTGCTCGCCATACTTCAAAATAAGTTTTGATTGTAAGAAATTAGTAATGAATAAAATAAGTATTATATAGTGTCAAAAAAAAAAAAAAAACGTCGTATCTGGGTAAAATTATGCACATCCATCTGAAATATTTTCTTACACGTGGAATGGATTTTTATTCTTCTGCACCAGTGTTTCCCAAACTTATGACTTTTGTGTACCCTTTCCAAATTTTTCGTAACGCTGTGTACCACTAGTAAAAAAATGAATGTATTTTTTACTACAAAAAAATTTCACAAAAATTAAAAACCACAACTGGCTGTTGACATCACTAATTATTGACTGTTAACTCTGCGAAAAATAACCAATAGAAAAATGCGTAATCGTACATTTTTATGGCTAGCCTTGTTTTTAAAGAAAAGTTTTGGGAAATTTTCGCTTGTTGCAAGTTATTTCGCATAAGAACGCGTACCCCCTCGAAACTGTTCCCGTACCCCTGGGGGTACGCGTACCACACTTTGGGAAACACTGTTCTGCACTGTAAGAAATTCTTGATCAAAATACGGTGAAAATTACGGTCTCTCAGGGTGGCGGTACTCTCTACCATAAGGCAGAACAAAAATTTGACTTCCGTAATTTTTTCAGTATTTATTTAATTACAGTAACACATTACAGTGCTGATGTTCTTATTATGTTTTTAGAGTAATTCGGTGTTATTGTAAAAATTACGGTATAATATTTTACGGTAAAAATGGATTTTACGGAAAAATCGGATGATACATCCAAACTGCTGGTTACTTTACACCATAATCTGATCCGGAAAATTTTATAGTGTAGATAATACATGCATTTCACTGTCTTGTGTTTCATATTTAGTTTGCTTGAGTAATTTTATTGCAGGACATAGAATATATTTAATTCATTTGTTTCACTAAATTAAAGAAGTTCCCTAAGATTGTACACCTCTATGATTTTTCCTACCAGCATTTTTTAAAAAGTCATCGATGATATTAAGGCTACTCGGCACTTAATAGCATTTATTTTTGCACATTTTGGTTAAAATAATTTTTGATAAAGTCATTCAAACGAAATCAAAAAACTTTCGTAAATTAAATTTGAGAAAGTAATATTTTAATAATTTAAAATTATATTTTTCAATATTTTTAAAACGAGCGTTAAATGATAGATATTTTTGAAATTTAGCATAAAGATCCATATTTTGAAATGTATTCCAATACAGTATATTTTTGACTTCATTCCAAATTTTGTCAACAAAAGAGAATAATAATGTTTAATTTATGACATGGTGTTAATTTATTATTGAAACCTGTCATTCTATTTTTTTGGCAAAGTGCACAATTCAGTGTTTAACACAAAATTTCTTTTAGTTTATAAAATTATAATGTAATCGGATAAAATATTTGAAACGAAAATGTGTAAAATATTGATTTCTTAGAATGTGACACATTATCAAAATTGTGACACATTATCAAAAATAATGGTGCACATCAAACCATATAGTGTCACTTTAGTAAACTGTGTAACATATAATAATAATAGTTCAGCTTAAACTGAAACACTTTTGATGTAAACTTTCTAGATATGGTTCTAAGTAACAATATTATCGTGAAGCAATCAATTAGCAGTTATAAAAGTGTAAAAAAATAGTTAAGTTAGTTATTAGTTAAATTAGTTAAATTAATTAGTTAAATTAGTTAGTAAAATTAGTTAAAAGTCGAAGATAAGTATTAATTATTTTTTAAATTGCATATTAAATATCTACGAGGACAGTTTTGGTTATCCATAAGCCTTAAGAAATGAATTGAAAACTATTTACAACTCCACCTCTCTCTTTTGATCATTGGACTCTCTTTACTTTATAAGATAAACAGACTTTCTTTTACTTACCCTGCCATTACTACCATAACTTTATTGCTTTCAACAAATAAAGAATATGCTGAAAAACAGAAGGTTCGAAATTTCTTGCCAAGGGCTAAGGATCTTTTAAGAGGATATATAGAATTTACAAAAAATTCATTTTTACTAATGTGGAAAGAAATAAAAAAAATATTATTCATAATACTTTATTTATACACTGTTTCCCTTATTTCATATGTCAAAATTATAACAGAAAAGACAAATAATAAAAAGTGTAGTCAGTCACTCTTTTTTTCAAAAATTCACTTCCTTTACGCTTTTGAGGGTATTTAAAAACAGTTCAAATTAAAGTAGATTAAAATTTGAAATAACAATAAATGCAACTAAACGTTAGAAACACACTTTTAAAATGTAAACAAGTAAAAATAATTAATTACATTTTATGCTAACTTAAGTGAGTTTCCAATTTAATGCAAAGAAAATTTTTTATAGTAACAAAGCAAACTTACTTGCAAGCCGGGGGGCAATCACACGTTATTTCTCCTCTGTCATTTGCAGTGACGACAGAGATGAAGCATCTGTCTAAAAACTGTACTTTTAATAAACAAATTTTATGCAAGTAAAAATGACCAAATGCACTATTTAAATCATAAGCATGAAGTTATCAAAGTGGTAACACTAGAGGGTAGAAACTTAACAGTTGACCAATTTCAATGATTTCTTCGCTATAATTGTTCTTTCTTGTCATAAAACAGTTTTTCAACGAGAAGTGAAATTACCATTTTTCTTTAAAGAAATTTGATTTCTCAAGAACTATTTAAGCGATCTCGCTCAAATTTCTTATTTCACCATGTAACATTAAATTCTTAAAAATAGGGTGAAAAATTGTATACCTTACAATTCAAATTTTTTCCGACTATTATTAAATGAAATAATAAGAAATAAAAACAAAGTCATTTATTGCATTGAATTATCTTTGGATAAACGAAATTAATGACCGTGAGCACAAATTCTTCAATCATTTAAAACATTTCCGAAATATGGTGAAATAACGAAAAAGTGAAATTAACATTAAGAGGTCCAAACTTTGGATCGCTCTCCTGACCAAACTATTGGAACCATATTTTCCGAATTGCGGCAACCCCATATGTTTTAAGGGTCAGAAATCCGAGTTAATCTAAAAAATGAAATGTTTATTCAGAGAAGGTACGTTGTTGAGTCCGATTTCATTACTTAAAACATCGTCTGCACTAATTAATTAGCATATTTTATTAATTAGCATTAGCCTCGATTTCATTAGCTCAAAAGTTATCAGTGCGTTCCGTTTTTTTTTCCAGACTCTACAGGCATCACATTGTGCATGAAACTAATCGAATCTCTTAATCATTTAACGAATCTTTTTAACTGCAATTTATAATATATATAATAAATCTATGAAAAATTAGCCCTCAAAATAATTTTTGAGAGACGAATAACAAATTTAAACTCTGATTTAAATAAGTATATCTTAATATGTGACGTATTATACTAATATCATAGAATTATATTATAAAAAGGAAATAACTCTTTTAGTTTTAAACTCTTAATTTCGAAAACAATCAAAATAAAAATAGTAATAATAGAAGAGTAGAATAAAAAAAAATAAATATTACAGGTTCTTATAATATTTCATAGGAAAATGATACCTTTATGACTATATTAATTTTCTCCTGTTGTTGATTAAAAGTATATGGAAATAAATATGGGAAAACCAGATCCTACTATATGATTATCCGGCTAAAAAAAGTGCTGAGACAACAATAGAAAACAGTATCAGACCATTCTGTTTTACGCTATATAGAAATACATGCGTTACGATGGTTTTGATGATTACCATTATCAGATATAAAATAATGAATCATTTCTTGTAAAGAAAATAATGATATCCTGTATCAAGAGCAAATAATTCGAGCTTCACACACTGTTTTTTTTCTGTTTTATATAAATATAACAGTATAGTGATAATAGTTAAAGGAAACTTTGAGATCTCTATACATTAAAAATGACTGCTTATACAGTTTCATAAAGTAGCGAAACATAAAAATATTATAAAATATCTAATTGAACTTTTTTAGAGTTTGAAAATCTTTTTCTTAAATCTTCTACAAGAAAGAAATGAGGAAATTTAGATTACACTGTCTAATATGTTCTTTGAACCACTCAAGAGATTTAATTATTCTAAGTTGTTTTTTTAGTTTCAATTAATTTTTTTAAGATTAACGAAAATGCGTTAATGCAACTTTGTTATAAATAATCCATCAATGCTAGTTCATTTAATAACTACTATCCAATTATAAGATTTTTCTACACATTATCATATTAATTTTTTCAGAAAATTTTCCAATAATTCATTTTCATTATCACCATTCATCCAGAGTTATAAGGAGCTTACATTTCTAACTTTAATGCTATTGTTAACTTATAGTTTAAAGAGATTTCACTAAAATTGCAATGTAACAAGATGACGAATACATAAAATAAATACACCTCATTGATTAGAATTAAAAATAAATTGAATAAATTGATTAGAAAGAAAAAATATTGTGGATCGAGAAAAAAATATTTCCGTCTGTGCGTGATAGTATTTCTCAACTAAGAAACTGATATTTACTGCTGTTGTAGTTGTTGACGTCAGCCATTAAGTCAAAGGGGGTGCGATTGCTCTTGTTTTCCAGTGGCACCATCTATGGTCAAGAATTTGACTTCCGCCACACCCACACGTCACTCCCGTTTATAGGGCGGACCCATTCATACATCCAGTCATTCTTCCTCAGATCACAATTTTGACGTGAACCAGCGAATGATCAATCTTCAATTCAGTACCCCTAGAGATATTGATTTGTTATGGGAACAAGGAGGACTTTCTGACCCGACATATTTAACGCGTACATGTCACAGTTTACTACACATGGAGTCTTTTGCTGGCTGGTTTCGAACTCCTATTCTCAGAAACGTGAGTCCATCGCCCTGCCAACCAGGCTATCCCGGCTAATATTTTTTTTATACAATTACTATGGTATTTAGGATTAATCTTGTAGCGGTGTTCACTTTTTTAAAAATAAATGTAGTAACGAATTCTATGATGAATTTAAAATCAAGTCAAGTAATTAATATTAAGTAGTAGGATAGAGGAAAGAATTATAGCCATTTCAAAAATATTAAAACCAAAAATGCTTTTAAATTTTTTTAAAGCATATCTAGTATTTTTTTAAATTAAAATTTGAATGATCTTTATTTCGAATGAAATCTAAGCTAATTACTAAATATACTTTTTATATTTCAAAAAGAGATTTTTTGTCCGCATTAGCCCATTGAATAGAGTTAATGGGATTAGTGTTGCCAGGTGATAAAATTAACTATTTATTTAAATATGACTTACAAAAGAGTTAGTAAAATAAAAAAAAAAAATATATAAAAAAAAATTATAAGTTTTAATCTGTCGTTAGTTAATAATCTGAAGGAATTTTATGCTCTTCTATGCTAATTTCTAGTAAATACATAAAAAAGACAACTATTTCCGTTTTCTTGAAAATTTAAAATGCTAGTACGTTTTTCTATTTGATTATTTATTTAATTAATGTAATTTGCAATGATTTTATCCACCGTGACATGTAAACAATTTAAGCAAATATGCAAGACCTGATAGTTATGTGGGAAATTTTTAAGCTCTTCACAAATAAGTAAGCGATGTTCACCTCAATTGTTATTACTTTATCTTTTTAAATACTGTCAGAATATATAATTTCTGAGTTTTTAACTACGTTATTTATTTATTAATATTATTTGAACTGCACTAAAATTATAAATAAATTATTTCCTTGACAAGTGACTTAATCAGAGTTGTACTTTTTATACTTTAGTAAAAAATTATTATTTAATTATTTAATCAAACTTGGTTTTTATAATACAAAGTAGTTTATCAAACAAATTAATTTCAGAGGTTTTATTAGAATTTCTGACGTACACATTCAACTTCTGATTATAAATAATTTGAATTTTTTTTCAGCAGTCTACAGAAAACTGCAGAGAAAATAATAAAATTTTGAGTACATAAAAAATAATAAAATTTCTTTGGTAATCAAATATTTGATGTCAAATATTTGAGAAAAAAAGTCTTAAAACTATATAAAGTATTCGTTTTTCATAAATTTTCCACTATGCAAGATTTATTTGATTTTAATGAACAGATTTTGGAAAAAAAATACTATCGAATTAAAATTTTTAAAAAATAATCTAATTCAGCAAATGAAAACCAGAAACCACAGAAAGCTTAAAAAAGGTATTGTATTAGAAAAATATAATAGTAACGTCATGTGGGGCTACTTTGTGCAGGATTTCGCAGTTTTTGAACTTTGACATGTAAAAAAACTATGTTAATTCAAACTTTAGTAAAATTTATCGATATTATATTCATAACTGGACTCAGACGAGTGTATTTGATCAATATTGGTATTATTTGTATGTAATATTTACAAATAATAAGTCAAAACATACCTTGCACAAATACCTACATTAATTTTATAACCGTCATTAAACAGCTGACCCAATTATTCAGTTTACGACTACCAATGTTCAACTCCGTAGCTTTGTAATTTTGAACGTGACCCGGAAGACAAGAGAACTTCTGGATCAAATATTGGGAGAAATTAAGATTTCATGGAGGAATTTTTTAATGGAATTAACCCGCATTTGCACTACAAGGAGAAGAAAACCACGGAAATCTTTCACGGTTAGCCTGATGGCAAGGGGATTCTAACACATGATTCATCTACCACTGAGGAATTTTTATGTCAGCATTGCGGTCGGTGCGAGTTGTTTCTACCAACCATCGCCAATTCGCATAAATCAACCATCGCTGGACTTTGAACCCGGGGCCCCTGAATGGATCTACATTAATTTGTAAATAAAATATATTTGTAAGAGAATAAAACCTATCAGACTTCTAAACGTCAAAGTACTATCTTAGAAATTCCTGCTCGCATTAAGGTGAATTTACCAACACTATCGCAGAACCGTGTTCTGCCATGCAATTGAAAAGTTAATGTAATTATATAACCATTTGAAAAATTAATGTAATTAAATAACCAATTGAAAAATTAACATAATTAGCGTAATTAACGAAAAATTAGCCAGATAAAAATTCAAAATTAAGATTTTTATATAGTTAGCCTCTATGCATGATAAACTACGTGTGTATATGCACCAAAGAGCCATTACATTATGACCACCCTGCTAATAGCATGTAGGACCACCTTTAGCCCTCAAAACTGCTAGCACCAGCTGTGGCATTGATTCCACAAGGTGCTGATAGGTAGTTTGAGGTATTTGGTACCAAGCGCTCACCACCGTCCTGCAATTCCCTCACATTGCGAGGGGGTAGCTTGGCAGCAAGAATTTGGTTTTCCAGGTAGGGCCACAAATGCTCTATTGGATTAAGGTCAGGGGAATTTGGGGGCCAAGACACGGCTTGAAAGTCACTGGAATATTCCTTGAACCAATCCATGACGATTCGACCCTTATGCGTGGTGCATTATCTTGTTGATAAACACCATCCCCCGCCGGAAAAACTGTTGCCATGAATGGGTGAACCTGGTCTGCAACTGTGTTCAAGTAGCTTACAGACGTCAGGGATAGTTCTATGAGAATTATTGGTCCTAATGTGCCCCATGAAAACATTGTTCCAGGGCGCGAAACGATGAAAACCTGGGCGAGCCCATTGTTATAGATGGAGGGTGGTCATAATGTAATGGCTCTTTGGTGTATATATATTGAAAAAAATAGTTTTTCAAAAATAAATTTTGTTCAATCAGTTTTCTGAAATTATTTTTTAGCGTTCATAACAATAACAATAAAAAGAAAATAGTTGCCAAGCTACTTTTCTCTAAATCTATCATGAAGCACTTAAGTTATTTTTTCAATTGCACGGCGGTGTTAACCCTTATAACATTGACACGCCCATAGAAGCACCACTGCAATATATCCATATCCGCTCTATCCCTGTGGAGCCATCTCTTTGTTTACCTTATTATTCAATCAAAGTAAGGTAACTCAGAAGTGACTGTTAAAAAACGTAATTAAACACATTCATTTATAGCATTATCATCATTAAAAAAGTAAAAAAGTCTAAAGTCACATTTAAAAATTGAATTACGAAGTTACTTTTACATCTTAAAAGCCTTGCGTTTGAATTTGCTTTTTAAAAATCTAGTGTTTTGTCTTACAACTGCTGATGGAAGTAAAATAAAGCGTTTGCAAATCAGCCAATATTTATAATGAATTTTTGATTGATAAATTACCGAAACATTTCCCTATACTATACTTATCCCCTCTCTCTTACTAATGAACCTATTAGCATACCGAAATTTCTATTACTTTTAAAAAATTTTTAAATTTCAAAATATGTCTTATTAAACATCGCTTTCTGCATTCCTCTCGCATGTTTTAAATAACATGTGCTCTTCACCCACATGTTTCGAGAGTAATGTATCACTTCATACATAAACAAATTAAAAGTTATTTTTAAAATCCAGAAATAATTTTGGATAATCTTGATCTCAAGCATTTATTCTGGATCTACCGATGAACAGAGCAAACTCGAATTAAAAATCGAATTGTGAAAAAGTTCGTATTATTAAAATTCAATTTCTCGGGAACTATTTCACCGATTTCGCTTAAATTTTATATATTGCTATGTAAAATAACATTCTCCAAAATGTTTTTAAAATTTGTATACCTTATACTTCAAAAGCTTTTCGATTATTATTAAATAAAATAATAAAAAATATAAATATTTACTAAAAGTTATTTATAGCATGAGATTATTTTTTTGGATAAACGAATTTTACAATTGTTGGCAAACATTTTTTAATTCGCTTAAAAATTTCTCGAGATATAGCGAAATACGCAAAAAGTAAAAGTAACATTAGGGGGTCCAAATTTTTTCTTGACCAAACTATTGCGGCCATATTTCCAGAAATCTGAATCCGTCAAAGAAATGGTATGTTAATCTAGAAAAATCACATTTCAGTGAGAGATTTAGTAATTTAAAATATCGTATACACTAATTCATTAGCACATATAAGATCATTTCCTCGAATCATTAAGATTCAGTTCTAGAGCGTGAAGATCATTCGATCAAAAGTTATTCAGGTTGGTCCATTTATGTGCGCACTGTACATTGCTAGCATTCCGATTGTAATTCTCAAAAGTAAAAGAAGTACAGCTCCTTTACCTGAATTACACTACTTTAGAAATTTTATGAAATTGTTTAAGTATTTCAAATAAAACTTGAATACATTTCTTACCATCTTCAGTAGTACTGGTATTGCATATGGGCCCTCTATCAGGCGTTAATGTGGCTGGTATGAGATATGGGTGATAACATTTGCAGCGCTTGTAAATTTCCATGTTGATACAACGGCGCTCACACTCCTGCGAAGTAAGCAAAACGAGCAATGTAAACGTAACACTTTTATATTAAACACACGCCTATTATATCTATATTAAGAATAAATCAACTTGAAGAGTCATTATTAGGCATGTTGTTTAAAATATTTGTTTAAAATATTAATATTAAATTTAAAAAACTAGTTTATATGTTATGTTATGCGTAAAAACTAGCAAAAAAAATATTATCAATTAGTTTTTTTCAAATGTACATTTTTAGGTAAAAATAAGGCCTTTCTTGTATATACGCTTAGCACTGTAAAAAATTATATCGCTCTTAACAGAAAATTACTTGAGGATTTTATTTAGAAAGCAATCAAATACGTTTTGAATTAATATCTTAAAAGCAAGTACTTCTGAGTTAGGGATCGATGTAGTTATAAAAGTACATTTTTAAAAATTTCCAAAAGTGTCTTTGCGAAAAAACACACGTAAAAAAGGAAATTCTACTTTTTTTTCTCTTAGTCAGTAGTTTAAAACATGTGCACTATAATCATAAACACTCAGGAAAAATTGTAGACAATTACCTTAAAAACAACGTCAGATATCGTGTTTAAGGTGGTGTAAAATGCGAAAAAAAACCTGATTTTGAGATAAATGCATTTAAAAACTTAAAATCACTAGTCTATTCACTGTTATCACTTTGCATAAGAACTGCTGTAACTTTATAAATGATTAGAGTACAAACAAAAGTAAAGTGTTTTTAAAAAGCTACAACTACAGGGATTCTAAATTTAGAATAAACTCAATTTCAAAACTTTTGTCCAAAATAATGTTTTTGCACTAGCCATATACCTTGAATATAAAAAAAAAACCCATTCAACATCTTCAAGTATAAGGATATACATATTACACTGATTCTATCAGCGTACATTACATACACACTACTCGACATTGAGAAAAAAGAAACATATTCGAAACTAACTAAATACAATAAAATCTATCGTATTTCTGGCTTCTAGGAAACTTATAAAAAACTCGGCAATTTTCCAAAGCGCTATGGTAATGATTTTGGAAAAGTTAATTATAAAATATGGTTTCATAATATGTGATAAAATTTAGTAAATGTGTTTAAAATTAACAATTTTATCATGCCTTACAGCATGGCATCAAAACTGTTTACTTGGTTGCATTTATTTTTCAGTTTTGTATTTTTCACTAAATGTGTGATAACGAGAACTATAATTTTTAGAAAAACAATTTATAGGTGCTATAAAAGCGGAAAAAATACCAAATGAATCGTTTAAATACCGTATATTTTGGTTTTATTTACTATTTAATTAGCCCATCTTTGGTAGGCTCTTAAAGTCAAAAAGTTGTATTTTAGTACTTCAAAATTCAATATTTAGGTCTATAGTTATGTTATTTTAGACTTTTGGTACATAGCATATCGAGTTTTCTAGAATTGACTGAATAAATGCAAGACATGTGAAAGGAGCTAGAATGAGTTCTGTTTAGAAAACCAGGATATTTTACTCTTATTTAAAAGTTCGTAAACTACGTGTGGTGCAGCTGGATAAAAACTATAAAGCAATGTCTTTTATTGCAAGTGTTCTTCACAAATAATATGCTTTCTATTTTAGGCAAGCACTGGCATGCACATACATGCAATAGCTATCGTGTCGTCATTGTTGCCGAAGTTGCACCACTGACTGGAGTTTAGGTATATGAATTGAAATGATACAATCGTAGTTTATGCGTACGGTAGTTTTTACATTTATTATTCAACCATTATCTGTTATTATATTGAATTTCATAATTTCTTTATCTTTTGAGGGATTTTCCTTTGAAAAAACTTTATCGTTTGCATAATTCAATACTTTTTGAACGCTTTAAACATCATATTCTCGAGAAGTAATAATTTATTTTATTTTAAATTTTTTTGTTTGGAAAAGTGCGAAAAAATAATTTGTATAGTTCAAATTAAAAGCAAGTTTAACGAAAATAAAACTAAAAATATTAAGAAGTCAGATAGTTATAAATTTGAAATGTTGGAATATCATCAGCTAGTGGCATTTTTTTTGTAACACGTTCTTGCATTGACTATATATTTTGGTTGTTCTGTTTCAAATATAAAAGCTTATTTTTATTAACTTTATTTTAAGGGATATCTTTCCTGTTTTTGGAAACCGTATGAGAACAACTGAATCTATCAATTTCAAATTATACACCTTTCAATCTTGTTACTTTGGTTATCAATTGAATTTGAAATATGCTTGCCTTATACTGTATTTTTTCACCATGCATGTGATTTTTTTATTCAAAATTTTGATTAAGTTAATAATGAAAATCATTATTATTCGTAACTTAAAATTCATATTTATAAAAGCAAAAATAAATACGCATCGAAGCAAATGGATAAGCGGTTAACAATTAGTACTGATTGTAGTGATTGTTCATTCGTTTAGAGACGTAAGCCGATGTGTGAAAGAGTTCGGCTTAGAGCAGCTAAAATCTCATGCTTTCTGCCTCGGTCAACTAACTGAAACAGGCATGTGTAAAGATTATTGTATATCAGACAGGACTTAAGGAGATCAAATATCCTGGTTTAAGCAAAACTCAGAATATCATATATTTTCCATTTTTTTCGCCTCTCTTGAATTGTTGTTGTTGTTCATTTACGTCGCACTAGAGCTGCGGTATGGGCTGTTGGCGACGGTCGGGGAAACATCCCTGAGGATGATCCGAAGACATGCCATCACAATTTTGATCCTCTGCAGAGGGGATGGCACCCCCGCTTCGGTAGCCCGATGACCTGCATGCGAAGTTGAGCACTTTACGGTAGAACAGTTTAACGAGGACCAATACCGCAAACCCTCGGTCCCTACACAGACTGATCCAAGTGGTCACCCACCCGCACACTGACAGCAGCCAGTGATTCTTGACTTCGGTGATCTGCTGGGAACCGTGTCTTAACGATCAGTCCATTGCGGGACTCTCTTGAATTGATTTTTATATCAATGGTCACTTTTGCTTTAAAATCCAATACCAATATAGTTGGCACTAACATTGAAAAAGGGGAAACACGTGAAAAAAAGGACAAAAAAAAAGGATTCTTTTTCTCACGGATTGAGAGTAATACACTCCTGTATTATTTTTATAAAGTGCATTTTCTGTACTGATGCATTTTCCCCATGTAACTCAACTAGAAGAATTCCCCTTCAGTTAGAAGTGACATCTGTTGACGAATTATGTAAAAACAATATGAGATTTAATGATGTTAAATATTCTGGTTTAAGCAAAACGTAGAAAATCACGCATTTTTATTTATTTATTTTTTTGCGTGGCTGGGTGACGCAGTTGGTTTGTTGTCGGCCTTCTAAGCCCAAGTCTGCTGGTTCGATCCCCGGCACAGACACCGGATTTTCGGAGTGTAGAAAATCCTCAGCGGCCATGTCGTATGGTCATGCGGCATGTAAAAGATCCCTGGAGTGCCTTATTGGCTCTTGGCATTTCCGGAAAAATTAAATTCCTAGTGCACTTTACCATCCAAATAGAGTCTCGGTGCTGCCATCTAGTGTGGCAGAAACTTAGACGTCCAAATTAACATGGCCAACGGTATCTCACCCATTGTGGTGGTCCTGAAAGAGTAGATACCACTTCTGGAGAACGCACTAGATCTGCTCATTGGGAAAACTGATTGTGAAGCTCATTGGAAATAAAAATAATAAATTTTTTTCCTTCTCTTGCGTCTCTTTTGTTTTGGTTCCCATTACCAATTTAATTGAAATCTAATATTCAGAAAGTGGAGACACATGAAAATGAAAAGCAAAATAAAATTAAAAAGAAAACGACTTTTTATCTTACAGCTTGAGAGTAATGCAATCCAGTATTATTGTTATCAAGTGCATTTTCTGTGCTGACGCATTCTCCCCATGGATTTCCGAGTCTGTGTATTTCTCTGTAACTGATATCTATCGACGTCAAATCTCCTGGTCGCACATCTATACTTTCTTCAGTTAAAGTGGGGATGGAGCGTGGATTGTGAATGTAGATTCTTAAGCCCAGATTTCTTGTAAGTAAAGGAAGTGAATCCTGCTTGCGAGCTTGCATATACAGAATAAGACCTAAATTTAGACAATTAATTTCTGATTACAATTTTCATCTTTTTTTGTATAAGGAGGTTACATAGGGGATTTAAGTTACAGTTAGCTTAATTATTAAATTTTTTTAACCCCTTTTTTAAAATTATGATTCATTTTAGGAAAAAAAAGTGGTTGTACAATTGTTTCAAGATTTGATATCATTTTGAGAATCCGAAGTATTTCTGCCGTTCTCTTTAGTGTGTTAATAATATAAATATTTTATTTGGATCTGATGTCAAAACACAACACTAAACAGGAATAATATAGGTTAAAGACAGAAAACGGGTAATAGAAAACAGGCTATTGAAAGAAATGGCCGTAAGCATGAACAAATTTTTACTTTTACTTCTTTTATATAAGTTTTTCTCATTTATAGAACACTTTCATTGTATTAAAAGGCCAGATCAAGCATTAAAGTAATAATGTACTTAATTACAAATACTAATATACTTTTTTACTTAATTTATTAAATTAATCGTTTAAAAAATCGAGTAACAAAAGCAAATTTTTTTTTAATTAGACTTATTCTCTCTAACCATGATCAAAGTTACTTTGCCACTGAAACTGATGATATTAAACAAATTTGATTATTTGCAGTCTTTTTAAATCAAATAATTTCATTAGATAGTTCTCAAAATATAGTACTGATCATTCCTAAAAAGTATAATGATATGAGAAATATATTTTACCACTGTACGTTGCCAGTTATATTGCATAATCAAATATATCACGTTATTTTCATCCGTGTGAAAAAGTAAAGAACATGTATTAGCATTTAACAAGTTCTTGAAACGTTAAAAATTCTAATGCCGACTAGAAGTGTATTAATAATATAGTCCCGGATTGCCTGATTGGTTGGGAGTTGGGCCCATGGTCAAGTGGTCGTGAGTTCGATCCCCACCAGTCGAAAAACTCCCCGTGTGGTAAATGGTGACTGGTGCATGTTAAATCTGTCCGGTCACAATGTCCTTCAAGTCCCCATAACAAATCAATACCTCTGGGGGTATAGAATTGGAGATTTGTCGTTCTCTGGTTCTGATAAAAATTATGATCTGTAGATGAATAAATGGATGTATGAATTTGTCCACCATCTAAACCGGGCTGTGACGCGTGTCTCGCTGAAGTCGTATTCTTGGCCATAGGTGGCGCCACTGAAAAGCAATAAACTCACCCTCTGCTCAACAAATTCACTAGGTTTCACCAAGCAAGCTTGCTGGTATTTGGCAAGTAGCATTGGAAACAACAACTACGACAAGTAAAATAAATATTGTGTAATTATTTAAAGCTTAATGCTATTTAATAAATGACGTTAAATTTATAGTTATTTAATCGTAGCATATAAGGTTATGGTTACAATAATTTTTCGATTCCTTATTCCAATTGAGTACTTGCAGCTCCAGAAGAAGTAAAGTAATTCTGCTAACCATATGTGTTTTAAATCAGATTTAATTGGTTACCTGTAAGTGATGTCACGCGCTTGATTGACCTTTGAATCAACAAATTCTCCGATTTACCTTCGATGACGTTACTTAAGGTAATGTTAAGGTTGCTTAAACATTTTAATAAATACTGATAAGTGGAATATAATGTAATAAGAAATTATAAATGCAAAAGTTATCTGAAATAATATTATTTTATAATATCTTAAATAAATTAATATTTTCTGGAAAAAATAATTTTTTTTGTACCATGATCTCTACCAGCTTGCGTAGCCATTTTGACTGTCCGGTTTTTATCACTTCCATCGCCTATGTAATTAAACATGTAACATTTTCCATAAGTCGAGCTGTATAAAGTTGCAAAGTCAAGACTGAAACGATACAGATTAAAATTCATACATACAGTTGCATTATATGATTAATATAGAGAAATAAATTTACACAAATAAAAAGAAAAATTAGAAAAAGACCAAAGGCATACAAACAATTATAGAAAGGAATTAGCATAGGAATATAAAAGGAAATGGAATGCAGCACTTTAGGAATATTAATTAATATGAAAATAATTTAATTTAAAAATATTAGTAAATGTTGGATTAAATTGTCAAATTAAATTAACTGCAATTAAATTAACTTTCGGTTTGAAATCCTGATGTTCTATACTCAGTTGCGATCTGAAAACTACCCAGCTTCAGATGGATGGATACATACTTATCTAAAAAAGGAAAAGAAAATGGTTGGTCCGTAATATCGACTACATTGCCGCTATCATGACGTAGGTTATGAAACTGTGAAGTCTTAACTTTCATGATCTCCCTGACTCACAAATGGCTGTCGCCGAAACGATTTACCTTTATCAGAACAAATTGAGTATGAAAGTATACGTGAATGTAGAAATTAATTATGTATAGGACAAATCCCAGCAAATGAAAAAAAGAAAATCATGATACTTAAAATATTTTATTCTGTTTAATATTAAAAAAAAACATGCTATTTGTTGAATTATACTGTTGCTTTTATTGATAGTGAAATTGAAAGTTTATAAACAAGATTAGCTCTTTCAGCATATTTTATTTAAACTCTGCAGTTACATTCCAGTGGTCTGTTGCGAGCTCCTCGTGGTATTTTTCTCCAACAACATTAACAATTCATACCATTCTAATGTTTTTTCTCTTAAAATTTAATCTGTGTTTATTTTTGTCATTCCCTTCAAGATCTCTTACAGTTCACTTTTTGGAAGAATCTAATCGAGGACCTCACATTGTCAAATTTCAGAAACTTCCACTAAATAATTCACCAATGCACAGAAAGATTTTAAATATCACCACACCAGCACTCTATCCCGATATAAGATATCGGCGTTGAGTAAACTAAGGCTGGGCAGAATCGGATATCACCCATCGATGCACAAAAATGCTCTTATCTGTTTTTTTTTTGAAATACAATTTGTAAATGTCGCTTAATACATATTATTCAAATCCATAAATTGTAAAAGTGAGTAATTTAAAATGCAGAATAATTGGATAAATTTGAGTTTATTTGGGATTTAGATATAATGGGAGACTTTGAAATCTGCCTTTTACTCTCAGAATTGGCCTTTCCTCAAACTTTTCCTGCCTTTTACTTAAACTTTTTCTTATCAAAGCTTTAGTTTGATTGGAACCAGTTTTAATAAATTCAACTTCAAAAACGTATTTATAAAATAAATTAAAAAAATAGTCAATTTTGAACTTAAGTCACATAATACGAACAGAAGTTCACTATACATTCATATGTACCGTGCATTATTGCTACTTGAAAGGATTTTTTAAATAAATTTTTGCTTGGTAAAAAAGCTATGCTTTGCTCTATAACAGTTCAATAACGAGGAAAGTTATGAATTTTTTTTAAAACGTTTTAATTAATGCGCGTGTGATGCCACAATAGGCATTACATATTTCCTAGTTTTTAAAATTTCTTAAACTTATTCTTTTTAAATCATTCTTAATCAAATTTTCATTAATTTAAACCAATTATTTAAATTTTATTACATTTGTTATAAAACGAAAATGAAATATTTTATTCTTTCTTAACAATCAATGTAACGGTTAACTTTTTATTTCGATACTAATGTAAGACTCATTAATTCACTGTCACGACTAAATCGAAGACAATATCTATTTATAACTCTTTATTCTTTATTTATTACCACAAAAATTCTTCAGTTACATCATGGTTATAATAATTCTCACAGTCTTTTTGGCGATTCGTTTTCACTAAATAATTTTGAAATTTAATATTGATTAGGGGAGGTTGGCTTTACTTTTGGCTATGTTATCTTTCGTTAAATCCCCAACCGTGGATCTCCTCCCATGCTCTTAATTTGACTGTTTGTTCAGAACAACTCATTTACTTTTAATTTCGAATCATTAGCGTTTGGACCGAAGGGGAGGGGGGCTTGAGCCTCTCAGTCCCAACCGTACCGTTGAATTGATATCTGAAATAATATTCTTGATGTGAGGGGATGATTTTCTTGATCCCTTTGAGCGTTTTTTTATCTTTATTTTTATAATTTTGGAATGTAGCCATGTTCAGTTTAAGATTTATATAATAAATCAATTTTTCCTAAGCTATTTTATTCATTTTCTGGGATAAATATCCCTACATCAAGTCCAAATTAAAATGTATCTGAAACGGCTATACAACTTAAACTCTACACAGAAACTATATCCCACTAACCACTATGGACTAAGAATTTGGGCGAAATTTTTACAAAATCGTGGTACTTACAATTGTTCAAATTTTTATTCCATATCAGTGATATATAATAAGAAAAGTTATACATTCTTTACTAAGTTTTCACTAATGCATGGCTTAAAATTAGTAGCTCATTCATACCAATTAGTAGCTTTTTTCATACCAATGCAATAATGAGAAATTTTAACATTTTTCACTAATTTGCTTACATATCTGTAGTTCTTGAAAACAAAATTTTCAACTTTTCCTAATAAATTTAGCACGCAATTTATGAAATTTCCAAATAAATTTTGCACTCGATACAGGTTTCTGATAGTTTGTTTAATATTTTTCTGACCGCTACAAATAAAATATACCATCATTTCAATGTCGAAAAAATTTATCTTTAATTTAAATTTTTTCCCTTCGTTACTAACTACAGTGCTGACTATTTCGTATTTAAACTGTATATAAAGCCAGAAAAATTAGACTGTATTAGAACGTAGCATGCACTGCAAGTAAAGTATAACTTTACTGATATATTTTCTATCAAGTTTTATGAAACTGCATATTTCAAAAGTAGTTTTGATTTTACTGACTATACAATATGCTAAATAAAGCAAAGTAGCAAAAATTTAGTACTTTACTTGAAAGAAAAAAAAATTCTTAATGCCTCAAATTATCGCATAATATACAAAAACTTTTAAAAAAAGTGTAAATAAAAATTTTGAATGAAGGTTGAAACTTTAAAATAGCATATAACTCTTATGAGACTTTTGAGTGGCTTTGATATTCCTGATGTAACATAACGAGTCGCTCGAAAATCAACAGAGTAACCTTAGTTTGACTTTTCCAATGAAAACAATTTTTTAAAAAAAGTAATTGGATGCAAATTTACTGGTTTTATTTCCCATGTGACTTTGAAAAAATGTTATATTCCTAGAAAAAAATGCAATCAGACTTTTCAAAAGCAGAAACATCTAAATAGAAATTTGATAACTCTCTTTAAAACTGTAGAAATTTTTAATCAAAATGTATTTATATTATTTTTTAACCTAAAAAATTCCTAACTGTGAAACAATCCAGTGTATTTAAAAATTTTAAAGGCCAAAATATTGAATTTATTTAAATGTAAAGTAAATTCTGGTTAAATTACAGTTTAATAAATTCACATAACAAACTATACCATGGAGCATAATAAATTCACATATATGAGGTCCAATTGTCTAGAATTGTTCAAAACTTGAGTCGTGATTGCTATAATTTAAATTTGATGCTAGTTTGTTGCTATGTTTTGTTCTTTTGTGCATGTTTTTCTTCCAACTTTTTTTCATAATTTATTTTCTGTATGATATGGTGTATACGGTATCACGGTTTGCGATAGATGGGTACTAATGATTCAGAAATTAGTTTCATTTTCTTTTGTTTGGATTTTGTTTGCAATGAAGTGCTTTTAACAAATAGTGCAAAAGTGCTTTTAACTAAAGTTTGTAAAGGAGAGTAAAAAGATTATATTTGTAGTTTTGCATAAATAATTTTTCAAACTTTTTACACTAACTGAAACATCACTATGAAAGTTAAGGGCAGATATCTCTAAATACAAGATGAAATCAGCAAAATATTTTCACTTATCATTATTATTTTAAGCAGGAATATTAGGACATACAATATCAACACACATACAAGTGACATTTCAATATATTAAAAAAACTTCTTCTGTAACATTAAAGGTACAACTTTATGGTAGACTAAAGTAATATAAAAGTGTTTACTCACAAATTTATTGGCCGTAATGGCCAGATGATATGTTATCAAATGGCATTCCATATTTGTTCAGAAAATAATCAAAATAATTACATTCAGAGTTCACCATAAATAATATTTTAAAATTGCAGTAATAACTAAACCGCAGCTATGAAAGTATCTCTATATCTAAGAGGAAATCGACAAATCATTTTCATTTATCATTCTTTTAAGACACAATATTAAGACACAAAAAACAACTGATATACAAGTGATATGTGGCCTGCATTCATTGTCGAAAATTAAATCTATTTTTAAAAACATGACCGCCATAACATTAAACAAACATGTTTATGGTGATTTAAAATAGTATAAATTTACTAGTAATCGTATGCATCGTAATGGCCGGTTAGTATGTTATGAACTGATATTTCTTATTTGTTGAGAAAATAATAAAAAATAATTTCATTTGCAGTTTTTCATGAATAAATTTCAATATTTACATTTGTAGTTTTGCATAATTTTTTTTTAAAAATTGCAGTAATAACTAAACCACAACTAAGAAACTTAAAGACAAGTGTCTCTAAATGTAAGACTCTATATCTAAACCTATAATAATGTATGACTATATCTAAGTGTCTCTATAGCTAAGATGAAATCGATCGATCATTTTCCCTGAACATTCTTTTAAGATACAATATTACGAGAATAAAAAAATCAACTGACATACAAGTGATATGTGGTATGCATTCATAGTCGAAAATTAAATCTATTTTTAAAAACACGACCTTCATAACATAAAGCAAACATGTTTATTGTGAGTATACAAGTATATAAGTTTACTCGTAATCGTATGCGTCGTAATGGCCAATTAGTTTGTTATGAACTCACATTCCATATTTGTTGAGAAAACAATAAAAATAATTACATTTGTAGTTTTGCGTAAATAAATTTTCAATATTGCGGTAACAACTAAATCACAACTAAGAAATTTAGAGGTAAGTCATGGTTTTAAAAAGTACTTAAGGGTACTTATTTTCGATTTTCGTTTTTTAAAAGCCCTTAATGGTGTTTTTTTATTGGGAGTTTTTAAAAAGTTCTTAATTTCCCCTTTTTGAAAATGAGAATTTTTTTCCTTTCAATGTCTATTTTCGCCTCGTATTATGCAAAAACGTGCTTTTCACATTGTTCTAATCAACGTTTTAACAATTCATTCGACCACAATCCAGTTTCGCTTACATTCGGTCCGTAGCGTTTAAAAGCGCCAATCATTTTGCATGTTTGATAAAATACTTTGGATTCCACAATTGCGTCTACTGAGGTTGGTTCGGTGAGATAATTGCTCTCGTATGTGCAACTCTGCTGCATTCTTCAAGATATTCTCAATTTCAGGCTTCATTTTCCATCCTCTGAGATCGAACTCAAAAATCTCTTGACCATTTTATAACTGTTAATATAATCAAGAAAAGAGTTTTTTGTCAGAAACTAGTTATTTTATCAAGATCATGTAAGGTCTTTTAAAATTATTTTATCATTTTTTTAAATGTATATAGTGCTTAAAAATATTTTTGAGTGCTTGAAAAGTACTTAAAAGGTGCTTATTTTTTGTTGAAAGATTTGGCTACGCCACCTGGGAGTAACTCTAAATGTAAGACAAAATCGACGTAACATTTTCACTCATCATTATTTTAAGCTACAATATTAAGGCACAAAAATTCAACTGACATGCAAATGATACATAGCATGCATTCATTACCAACAATTAAATCCTTCTTTAACAGCACAACTTCTATAATATGAAGCAAACATGTTTATAGAGATTTAAAAAAAATATAAAAGTGATTACTCGCAATCGTATGGACCGTAATGGCATGATAGTATCATGTTGTCGAATGGCATTCCATAGTTATTAAGGACGGAAGTAGAAGGAACGTAAAATCGCTCTACATCTTTGGCATCATCACTCATTGAAAATTTCAATTTCTTTAGAAGAAATTCTATTTCCGGTGTTGTGTTCAATTGATCCAGGGTTTCGTTAAAATCTTCTGTTCCGAACTCCATTTCTAAATCAATTAAATTTATTATGATAATTAAATTCAGGAAACCTAATTTTAATAAACAATATTAATAATGCTTTATGTTAACTATGATGTGATATGTTTTATAATAACAATAATGTTAAGCATAATTCAAGGTATCCAATATGCTCGAAATATATTTTACAAATGTGTGGATTTATGTAAGAAAATACCTCTAAGAAATCGACTATTTTATTGCTTAATATTTCATTACTAAAAATAATAGCAATTATTTTAGTTTAAAATTATATTAAAAACTGTAACTTGTCGATAAATAATTGAATTGTTTTCGAATGATTAGGTTTCCACATACTAAAATGCATTCATAGTTTTAAGGGCAGACCTCAGCGAGGTTAATCAACTTGATCAAATTATAAACTAAATTGCAAAATTGGACTCAAAAACGGGTAAAATCAAAATCTTTCACAGTACAGTATGCATACCTTTTAATAAATGAATTCGAATGTTTGACTCTCAAAATACTGGTGGTAGCCACACCCTGTAAAATATGTAATAAAATTGGAACAATCGAATGTTTGAGCTCTTTAATGTAATTTCGCTTTATATCGCTTCGCATTTTTGTGTTAACATTCATTTAAGCGAATCACGCAATTTTTTCCATTTTCTTTTTTATAATTTTAGATTATTTAATTCAATAACGATCGAAAATGTATGACAAAATTTAAAACTTCAACAGAATCAGTACAATATTTCTGGAGAAATGAAAACTTAAAAATGCGATTGTTTTTTTAGTTTTGTTGTTCAAACGTTATTGGCCCGAATTTCAATGAAATTTGGATATTTCATCTAAAATTTCAGAGTTCTAGAAAATGTAAAAATATTTACACCTTATGATTCAAAATTGTTTTTATTATGGTATAATATAAATGATAATTAAAATAAATAAATCGATAAACGAATAGAAGAAATTGCAGATAAAAAAGTTCTAATACCTGTTCATCCAAATATAATTCTATGATAAAAATTAAATAAAAATGGGTATTTTGTAATTGTTTATTCTTTATGCTTACTAATAGTCGAAAAAATATTAAAATGCAAGGTGCACAATTTTTTACACTATATGTTAATATATATGATTAATATATATTAAATATTAAAATCTAAAGTTTGAAGGGAGTCGGTCTAATAGTTCTGGGGAATTAAAAATTGAAAAATACGGCCTGTTGTATAGCTTGAAGTTTAAAAATCCAACGTCGTCAGAGTAAAGATATATTTATTTAGAAAAAAAAACATTTTTCGTCTGATGTTGTTACTTTAAATGTAATCAGCATTAGTTAATCAACATATCACGTTTTCAGTCCTCGAACCATTGAGATCGCATCTTAGTACGTTAAAATCCAACCATTAACTCAAAAGTTATTAAGTGATGCAGTTTTTATTTTGAGCAACGCTTATGTGATTCCGTGTCTTTATTCCCCCATGAGTTCATTCGTCCATAAAAATTGAAATTTCTCGGTAATTTTTTTCCAAATAGTTAGTTTGAAATGCTTCGGTAATTTTTTTCCAAATAGTTAGTTTGAATTCTTTAATAGTTTTACTGTCCTTTTCCAAATTATTAGACGCACTATAAGATTCTATGTAAAATCTTAATTATAGGTGATGCTATGCAGCTTTATTGTTTTTACGTGACTGAAACCGGTTTGCACTTGCTTACGGTCGTGTATCAATTGGTTAAATTAGATGATCTATAATGTAAATTTGACGATTGGATAAATTTGACGATATATTATATAAATATAGAATCTTATAATATACTCATCTTAACCAGGTCAAGGAGAGAGTAGGAAACTTTAACAATCTTATTAAAAGGGTGGCCAGGGCGACCTGGGGACTTAAGCCAAAAATACTTAAAACCATCTACCTGCGGGCCACAGAACGCATTATTTTATATGCCGCCAGTGTCTGGTATCGTAATACTAATAAGATCAATGATAAATTAAATTCCATCCAAAGGTCCTCGCTAATACTCATAACTAAAGCTTATGCAACTACCAGCACAGAGGCCCTCCAGATACTGGCGGGGGTGGAGCCTATTCACCTTAAAGTAATTAATGATATTTGTGTCAAACGACTTAGGTGGCAGTGGCGACTGGAAGACTTTGACTCGGATATTAGGGCTGTTTTACAGACTGCACGTCCTGACTGTCCTCCATCTAGGCTTCACCCATCCAAATTTCGTTCTGTGCCCTACGGTAAGTCTCTACCAACCAATACGGGACTTGAAATTTTTACTGATGGTTCGAGGATGGAGGTCGCCAACCCCAATACTAACGATAAGGAATATAGAACAGGCTCTGGTATGATTGTGAAACTGGATGGTGAGACTATTGAGGTGGCCTCCATCAGACTCACCAATAACTCTAGCGTTTATGTTGCAGAGCTCGTGGCAATTAAAAGGGCAATTTCATGGCTTTCTGACATGGATTATCCCAGGGCAACCATTTACTCCGATTCGCTGTCCTCGTTGCAAGCACTAAACAATCCAAAGCCTATTTCAAAACTTGTGGAAGAGATAAAACTTCTTTGGCATGACAACATTGATTGCAATTGGGTCAAAGCCCATGTGGGCATTCAAGGCAACGAGGAGGCGGATCGGGCAGCAAAAGAAGCCACGAGTGACTGCAACATCTCAATTGAAGTCCCCAGTTCCAATGCCCAAATTAAAACCGTGGTCAAATCACAGAATATGAGTCGCTGGAAGCGGGAGTGGCAGAGTTCTGGGAAGGGTAGGCAAACTTTTAAATTCTTCAAGGAACCAAAACTAAACAGACTGCAGGCAAATTTTTATTTTAACCAATTTTTTACGGGTCATGGAGTGTTCGGAGAACATCAAAATAGACTTTTTAATAAAAACATTCAATGCAATTACTGTGGGGAACAACAGACAATCGATCATTTAATTTTCAATTGTTCCCAATTCCGGACACTTCGTGACAATATTTTTACCAATTTTAATCAACACCAATGTTTTGCCAATTTGGCCTGCAGAAAAATTATCATCTCTACACTGGAAGATGTACTCGGAGACAGGCAATAACACTCGGAACCTGCGCTCCCTACTTCTTGGGTGTCTCAGGCATTTCATCGGCTTTTAACTTATTGTTTTACTTTATTCCATTTTTAATGTTTTTTCTTTAATGATTTTATGTTACTCATTATTTGTCATTCATATTTTCTACTAGGGCTTGATTATATGCTTTCATGGGGGGTTTTTATCACTGTCAACTTTTTAATATTTCTTTTATCGGTTTTACCTGCATTTTTCCATTACGATGTTATCTCAGTAATTTTAACTTTTTTGTGTTCGATTTTATTACATTGTGATTTTATTGTGTTTGATTTTATTACTATGGTCTTTTGACTGTCTGTTTGCCCCGTTGGGTGTTTCTGTAACTTTTATTTCTATTGATTGTACAATTTCTGCTTGACGTAAACCCTACACAAATAGGGTGGGTCGTGTCAATATTCAAATATAAATATAGAATATTTATTATATCAGGTAAAATATTAATATTTTATAGTAATTAGAAAAATTATTAGACGCTGTGTAGTTTCTTAATAATTACATGTTTTGCACGCGTTTGTATGGAAACGCGTGTAATGGGTTGCATGTAATGGGTTTTTATTCAGGAGATTTTTATGTACTTTTATTTATATTTATTTTTAACGTACTGCATTACAATGGTAACCAATTGATATACTAACGTAAACAAAATCAAACCGGTTTCAGCAGCTTAAAAACAATAAAGCTGCACAGTACAACCTGGTAATAAAAGGCCTACACGGTCCAAGTTCTTGAATCCGAGAAATTGGAGGGATTTCTCTGTCTAAGAAATTGGATGATTCGTCGACACTATCCAAGTTCTTGAATGTCACTGATTCGTCGAGAGAAAAACTTGAGCATGCGCATTTTTCTTATTCAACATTATAAAATAATACTTACATAATTTTTAAAATTACTAAATAAATTCAAATAAAATCATAATAACACAAATAAACCGCAATAGATCAATTTATTTGGACTAAAATATATGAAAACAGACTACAAAATGACATAATTTGCTGTCTGCTTGTTGACGTCACAAAACCTAAGATTGGTTAAGGGAGAAAAAACTTGGATGGAAAGTAGAACATGCTCTACTATCCAAGAAGTTGGACCAAGTTCTTGGATGATTGTTTACACGATCCAAGCTCAAAGCAAAACAAGTTTCCAGCAATATCAATCTCTGTTCAAGAAATTGGATCGTCTAAATACGCCTTAACATTTTACATAAAATCGTATAGCGCGTCTAATAATTTGGCCAGCTACTGTATACAGTTTAAATAAATCTCACAAATGCTTACCAAAAGGTGGTTTGCAGTCCTTTTCATTAGGGTTGCAGGGTCCTCTGCTTCGCGGTGGGTGGTAAAGTGCGTATGAGAATGAATCTTTACAGAGGCACACCATTTTACCATCGGTTGCTTTAAATTTATAGCATCCATCCGCGGTACCATTCCAATCGCAAAGAAGCATGGAACAGGCACAGATCTCGTCCGATTTATTTTGGTCAGGGTAACAGTAGAGTGTGTCACAGGGATTCCTTTCACAAAAACAGTCATCTTCAAACCACGACCACGAACAAAGCGGATCCTTTATACAACGTATCTTAGTTTCTTCTGATATACTGAAAAAGATCATAAATTGATCATATTGTTAACATTCATAAGTGTCAGCAGTAACTACAAATAGCCGTTTTAGATTGTCTTAAAATTGTATGCATAAATTCTTCAGATTTTGCTTTAATTTTTTTTATTGTAAATTTGTACATGAGAAATGTTTACAAAGATGTCTGACCTAGGGTTGCCCTAAAGCAACGAAATTTTAATGGATTTTTTGAAATTGTTTATGCAGTTTGAATTTGTTTTACTGCAGAGAAATTTTTGTTGTTGTTAAATATAATCTTTGTTGTTTTCGTGTTCATTTATAACAAATATATGAACATATTACTTTAAATATTTTACATATATTTGGTAACACATTGGAACTTAAATGTTAATTAGAGAAGTAGGAAATTTCAATCACAGTTTGCCCTTGTTTATTCATTCATAAATTTTCTGATTAGGTACTTTTTGTTGTTGTTTACTTTGAAAAAAGGAGAGAATTGGAACGGAAAATAATTATTTTTATAGACGAAAAGAAAAAATAAGTAAATATAGTATAAAAATTGGCAAAATGAAAAGTCTAAAAGCAAAATTAAACAATTTTTCTCACAATTAGCAGTTTGGGTACAATTTTTTATAGTTACTTGACTGTTTTGGTAGAAAATGCTAAAAAAGAACAACTAAATAAAATGTTATTTAACCACATTTTCCAAGAATTTTTAAGAGTGTGTGCGTTGTCCTTACCTGTGAATTTGCGTAATTAGATTAGATTAAACACGTTTTTAGAAGTTTAACACGTCAGAATAAAGTATTTTTTGGTACCAAAAATGATGATATTTCTTGTGGCTATAACAAAATTTACCACATCAAGTAATTTTTTCCATTAATATTGCACTTTAGTACAAAATTTTTTCCCACTTCAACTACAGTGCCTGTGTAAAGGAAGCACGTTGCAAATATTTAAGTATAAACAAAATAAACACATGGGTTCAAATAAATTTTTAACTAATATGGTGACGTCACTCCTCTTTGATATTACAAATGCTAGTCTGATATAATCATTAAAAAGTAATATTATTGAACGCACTATAACTATTAATGAATTTCGGTTTTTATTAAGCTGGGCTAAAATATAACGAGCACGAGTGATAAAAACAGAATCGTCTAAAACTTAATTTATAATAATGCCTAATGTGAAATTAAATTTAGACTATGAGAAAAATTAATTTTTCAAAAATTCCTCCAAAGCGAGCAAATTGAAATTTTAAAAGGATTTTTTGTATGAGTGGCTCTAATTACTTCATGCATCCGCAGCAGAGTTGGCCAAAAATGTAATCGATTACATTTTTTGATTACAGTAATCAATTACTTGTAATCATGATTACAATTTTCAAATATTTTGATTACAGCTGTAATCATGATTACAATTTTGATTACAGTAATCGATTACTTGTAATCTTGATTACTTGTAATCGTGATTACAAGTAATCACAACAAAAAAGATTACATGTAATCATGATTACAAGTAATCAAAATATATGATTACATGTAATCATGATTACATGTAATTTGATTACAAGTAATCGTGATTACATGTAATCAAAATGTATGATTACAAGCAATTATGATTGTATACCATATATGAATGCAGTATGTTCGTATGTAGACTCATACATATTTTTATGTACATAAAATGTACGCACGTTTAAAAATGCAATTTACTATTTTACAATGCATGTTATGATGTGCAGATATGGGTGTATAACGTATATACATGCATTCATGACTCATGCACAAAAGTACATACATTGCATAAATGTACGCTGATAGTACGTATGCGTATGCAATGTACGTACAATATATATGTAAGAACGTTGTTTATAGGCATGATACCTACAGATAGCTGGGTATATAGAATGCATTTGCGTATGTATGTATGTTTGCATGCACATGTAGTGTATGTACATATACATGTACTTGTATATCTAGAATACTTATGGTCATGCAATGTGTTTACATATAATCAAAATATACAAATTATTACGATTACGACTACAAATTATATGTAAATGCAGTGTGTGCGCATGTAGCTACATACATATTTTATGTATATAAAATGCACGTATGCATATAAATATACTAACGTATGAAACAACGCATGTATTTACATATCTATATAGACGTATATATGCATACATAGAACATGTATGAATGTACATAGATATATTTGTATTCTTATAATGTTTGTATGAATGTGTGCATATACCATAAAGGTACGAATGTAAATGCAATGCTCTAATGTAAATATAATATTTTTATATATGTATAATGTATACCCGCTCATACATTGTTTGTACTTGAAAATTATACGTACATAACTATGCTTATACAATACGCATGTATGTACGCAGGGAAAAGCAAAATTTTATGTACGCAGGCATGGACAATATATGTATGTACATATGGGCATATTATATATATAAGTATACATGTATTACGTTATATAAGTGTACGCTAATAGTACGCATGTATGTAAGTATGCGTATACAATGTATGTATGTGCGTACAATGTATATCTTTAAACGCTGTTTATACGCATAATGTATAAACATACCTGTGTATATAAAATACATGTACATATGTATGTACGTTTGCATGTACACACATTAGCGGTTTGTACGTTCTATGTACGTACGTTAGTATGTAATATCTACATGCTGTGTTAGTTTATATGCTCATGTAATGTATGTATGTACAAAAATATTTGCATGTGCATGCAATGTACGCATGTACATACGGTGCATGTATGTTTGTTATTACACGTAATGTGTAAATGAGTGTATGTACAGGAATAATTTGTATTTGCAGTTTATATATGTACATGTATGCATGTGCGTATGCATGTCAAATTATTTAGATATCAAGGTATTAAGTTTCCACGGACCGAGATTCAAAACTTTACTTGCTCTTTATCATCTTATATATGGGCAACTAAACCATAGGACTAAGGTAAATATGAATATTTATTTTTATGTTATTTTAACTTATTCCAGAGTAACATTGTTGTTTTATAAGTTATTATGTGTAGTTATATATATAAAAAAATTTCTAACATTTAAGTTAATAGTTCTAACATTTAAGTAATTTAAGTTAATCTTAAAATTTCTTCCAAAATCCATAACACTCAATATCTTGTTTTAAGAAGCAAACGATTATAATGAACAAGCAAACGATCACATTTTAGATTCCTAAACGTAATTTCAATGTAAAAATTAAACGGTTTTATTTAATATAAAAATTTTTATGAACTTTACACTATAAAAAATATGTTATAAAATCAGATTTGAAGCCTTAGCATTTTATGAAAATACCCGAAAATGATTTTTATTCCAATATTTTTAATATGATATTCGCGATCGCAACGCTCGAGTACGCCGTCTAGCGGGAGCCTGTAAATATCGGACATTAACTTAATACAATCACATTTTCTGCCATCAAAGTCATTGACTGAATCAGACGCCATTTTTTAGCAGCAAATAAGAAACAAAATTTCCCTAAGGAAAAGGCCGAAGAACTTGAAAAAAATCTCCAGAATATTAGTAAATCTTTCAGGAACAGAACACGCCAAACATTTGAAGAAAAATTCCTCAATAATTTTTAATTTCTATTATCAACAAACTTGCAACTGATGACTTCCGATTTCGGATACTGTTACAGATGTGTGTATTAAGGTAAAATGCATTTCTTNATAAAATCTAAGTTCTCGCAGTTGCATGTGATCACTACGATACAAAATTTCCATAATTTTTAGTAAAAATATTCACTATTGGTTGCAAAAGTAATTTATTTATATTTTAATAATTTAGAAATAAAAGAATTCGATCCACCACTACTTTTAAATAATCATCAGATAGGCAAATGATCATATAAGTTCTGATATATAAAAATTCAATTTGTTTTAACAATTTCTGCCTTAGTTCACTGCCACTCAAAGAAAATATTTCGCCAGAACCTCAACACATGTTTAAGGGGTATGTATGTGATAATTGAATAAAAAATAATCGATTCACTCAAAAGAAAATAATATCTGTTTGATTAAGGGAATTTATTGACATTGTATATTTCTAGTTTCCCCATAAGTCTTCAATTGATTTTCTAATCGTCCTGCGTTCCGTTATTCTGTCAATATTACCACTCAGTCATTCCCGCGATATTTTTTTCTCTTCCATTTTTATGTGTCGTCCTACAAATTTCTATTATTGCTTTGGCGGAGATACCTCGTGTTCCTGACTTAATATCGGAGCCGTCATCTATTCTCTTTGATATTCCGCTCTATTTTGTCCCCTCTGACCGTCCATCTATCGATTCGTATGAACTTCCTCCCTCATCCTTAAGGCGAATGATGGGGAATGGTGAGAAAGCAAAAATTTTGCTCTTTCTGTCCATCTTAATCATTAATGTGCGCGTTTATATCAGAATGCTGGTTATTCTCTCATACTTTCCTGAATTCCTAACGTGCACATTTACGCTTAGCGTTATTCATCCTTAACTCCTATTGGAAACTGGATTGTGAAGATGTTGATGGATTTGTTTTTTGCTTTCATGATAAGTTGTGTTTATGTAAAAATAAAATTATTATATTGAAATTTTTTTTAAAAAAAATAATTAATTGAAACTGAAGAATCTTGGTCGGCTTATTAAAAGATGAAATATTAAGAATTCGATTATAAAAGCACTAGTACTAATATTTTTTATATTTTATAACCGTCGTTGAACTGCCGACCCAATTTTTGAGTTTACGACTACTAATGTTCAACTCCGTAGCCTTGTAACTTTGAACCCAATCCAGAAGACAAGGGAACTCCTGGATCTTGTATTGGGAGAAGTTTGCCTTCGTGGAGGACTTTCTGATGGAACTAACCCGCATTTGCTTTACACGGAGAGGAAGACCACGAGAACCTCCCACGGTTAGCCTGACAGCAAGGGGGCTCTTAACTCATGATCCGCCTACCACTGAAAATATTTCGCGTCAGCACCGTGGTCGGTGCAAGCCGAATGCGAAATTCGTATCAACCAGCCATGACTGGAATTCGAACCCGGTTCACCTCATTGGAAGGCAAACGCTCTATCCCCTGAGCCATCGCGGCTCTAGTACTAGTATTTGTAGTATTTTACGCAGATAAGACACCGTAATGCCTTATATACATACACACACAAATATATTTATACTTGACGCCCTAATTGCAAGCATAAGTATATTGATATTTTTTAATTTAAAAAAAACAGTCTGATACTTTTGAAGAAAAAAAACTATCGGAATTACATTTCTATTAAAATATAAATTCCAAAAAAAAAAATGTAGTCAGAAAAGTTTTTTCCCCTTTCATATTCAAAAATTATCAATAACAGTGTTTGTAAATTAAAGAAATTTCAATGATAAACTACTGCAAATATGAGCAAATTTGAAAATTATTTTTTGGAGGTGAGATGTGTTTTTAAGATTTTACCTTTAAAGCAGGAAAAGACACTGGTGTCTTATGCTGTATGTTTCCAAATGTTCTGAATGTTTACGTCATTCTCTATGCTATGAAGTACAATGATATGCTATGAAAAAACTTTTTTTCCCTTTTTGTTTTATGTCACAATGTAAGCTATTTTTTTATTTACGACTACCGGGAGTAAGTATATTAATGAGCTGTAAAAATTGATATTAATCAATATTTTTTAATGTGGCTTATGAATTAAAATTCTGCAGTATTCATGTCGTAATGTAGCTCAATGAGAATGGCTGCTATACAGCAGATATTCATTACTGTATGAATTTTCACTTTTGATCATAAAAGCTTCTACTGTTTGAGAAGTACCAGAATTTTGTTATCAGTTTTATGTGAACAATTTCATAATATTTTTTAAAGTTTATTTTTATCTATCTTTTAGGTGTTAAAGATCAAATTTTTACAGATATATATATATATATATTATTTTTTTTTCATGGTTGTGTTAATTGGTAGTTAAAATGTTAGTTATAAATGGAATTATATATTAAGTGTTATTGTATTCCTCTTATATAGCAAAAGCTGCTTTTCTCTGGCTATTTCTGAGGAAAAAGCATAAAATAACTGTTATGATATGTTTTAAATCAAATTGTTTTGAATCAACTTGTTTTAACTAAACTGATATTTTTGAACTGATGCTTATAAACTAATATGTTTGATTATATGAAATTATATGTTTTAAATAAATAATGTTGGTAAATTTTTGATATAAGTTTTTAAATTTTTAATAATTATTTTTGCAATCGCATTTCGAAAGCAATATAAATGGTTTATTAAACTATGCAAACTTTATCGTGTTCGTTTTAATCACATTTCCGAAGAATTTTCATGGTCGTGTACATTGGTAACTAAATTTATCAGAAAGGAAAATAGTTTTCTTTTTCGATACTTAAATCAGAACTTTTATACATTTTCTTATTTCGCAGTCTTCAAATTAGTGAGTTCTCAAATAACATTTTATTTTTTTAAGCCAGCTTTCAAATTCTTTTAAAGAATAAATTATAAAGTTTAGAGACCAATTGGATGAATTATATTAAGTTATATAAGCATTTTCCTTGCTAAACTTTACCGCATTTCAAATTGAAATTTATTTCAGGAAAAATTAAATAAGGAAAGAGAAATTTCTGAATAACATGATGGAATATTTAAATTAGTTTGAAAATAGTAATGCGTATCCTTCAAATCGATGTATTTCTTGGTTTAATGCCAATATTAACCTATGAAAATTTTAAAAATTGCCCGTAATTTTTTTAAATCCATGCAAACTATGTGTTGCATGGTTATAAGCATGATTTGCTATAATTCATTTTGTTTGTGATCAGAATTTTTTATTTTTTTGAATTTTTCAGAATTTAACAGATTTAATTCTATTAGAATTTTCAGGCATTCAAAAAAAAATTTAAAAAAATGTACAAGTAAAGTACAGGAAATATAAGTGAAAATTCTTACTTGAGGAAATTCTGGCCCAAATAAACGTTGGTGTTGCTAAAAGCGAGTACACCCCCTAATCACTCTAAAAAATTATTCATTGTACAACTCAATAAAAAATTTAGTTTTTAACTTTAATATAAGAAGATATCCAAAGAGCATTCATTTTCACATTTCTTTACAGTTCTCCGATTTTTTCTTCAGTGTTTAGATTGATTTGAAGGTGGATACCTCGAGAGCAATTATTATTTAAAGTAGGCTTGATTTTAAATAGTTCAATGTTTCAAACAGATTGTATTTGAAACATTTAGGCAAAATCTTTTTTTGTCTATGATATCTATGAATATTCAATATATTTATCACATTATGCATGCCGTAGACATTAGGTATAAACTATAAGATAACGTTTAAGAGAATAGCTTGAAGCAAGTTTAAAATGAAAAACTTAAGTGGTTAATTGCAAAATTTTTATAGAATTTCCTCTTGTGGTTGCTTTTGTTTAAAATCTCTACCTTTTTTGGTGTAAGGAAGAATATGAACTTAAATTTACTATTGATTTCAACATGTTTTTTCAGTATTACTTTTATTGGAATTTTGAATTGCATAATTTTTTTATTTTATAACGAATCAATAATTGAGCAAAAAAAAGAAGAAAAAAAAATTGTTTTATTAATAAATAAAACGGACCTATAATAAACAAACGTGAATTAAAAAAGTTACAAAGATCATAGTCTACATTTATGAATTTATATCCTTGAAATGATTCCATTTTTTGTGATTTCTTCTAAATCATTTATATATCTAGTCTCTATCCATATCAGCAAACGTCCTAGAAAGAAATTACAGATTGATCCAAACTGTGATCAAAAACTTTTTTCCAATTTCTTGCATAGTCATATATCCTTTGCATACACCAAGTTTGAAAATATGTAACCCAACTGAACAGAATTTGAACCTAATTTTCAGTCTAATAATATGACCAGGTTTAAAATTTCAATCAGGAAAACTAAATATTTCAATCAAACTTCTTATTTTGTGATTTAATTTAAACGTTGGTTTCTCTAATGAAAATCATATATTTTAGTTTTAAAAAAAAATCACTTTTTAATAAGAATGTATTCTCAGAATAAAACATTCCAGAAAATATTCTATTCAGAAATTTCTCTTTCCTTATTTCATTTTTCCTGAAATAAATTTCAATTTGAAATGCGGTAAAGTTTAGCAATGAAAATGCTTATATAACTTAATATAATTCATCCAATTGGTCTCTAAACTTTATAATTTATTCTTTAAAAGAATTTGAAAGCTGGCTTAAAAAATAAAATATTATTTGAGAACTCACTAATTTGAATACTGCGAAATAAGAAAATGTATAAAAGTTAAAAAAAAAATTAAATGAGCACTCCTATGTTTATGTTTAAATTCTCTATATTTTTGTAAAAAATTTCAATTTCCTTTTTTTATATATTCACATTTTTTGGACGCTCACTAGAGTAAGAGCATAATCGTAGTCTTACTTCTAACTCCTTGCACGTATTTTCTTTCATAAAATATTTTTCAAATCTGATTAATTGAAATATATTCAGCAATAACGAAATCCAAACTAGTATTAAAAGTCTAACGTTAAGATTACCAAAAATTTTTTTATTAGCTCTTGCGAAATTTTTAGAAATAGAAATGATTTTAAAGTGGTAATTAATCAGTTATGCAATTAAGTGGGGGCAACTGTATAAGGAAAATTTCAACTAAAATAAATAAATAAATAAAAATAAACAATTATGTTTAATTGATAGCGCATGCGTTATAAAACGAAAATGTTTGGAAAAATTTTGGATAAAGATCAAGCAGTAGAGAAATAGGAAGAAAAATTTAACTATATTTTCAATCTAAGAAAAGCTACAAATGTGATTTCAGTGTACTTCAATTTACTAACCCTTATGGAAGAGTAAAATTTTATAGGGCAAAAATTTACAAAGATTTATTCAGACTTCAGTAATAAAGTGTTTTATCAAAGGTTATCAAGCCATGCCATTTCCTTAAAAGTAATGATAGTTGACTGGAACTTTTCAAAACGTAAAGAGGCAGTTAATAAGGGTAATTACTCGGTTAGTGTAAAATTTCCAGTTCCTGCATGGAAGTACTATTTATAAACTATAATGAAATTTATTTGGTACATAAGGAGTAAAAAAGCTTTGATTTTATAAAAATTGAAAGAGGGAACTAAACTAATATGAATCAAAATTACAAGTGACTACATATTGAATATTGTTGTTGAAATTATATTCAAAATTATGTACTTTCCAAATCAGAGAATATATAACCTAAAATGAAGATAATGATCATGGTTTAGATTAAATAAAAGAAAAAGATTGCCACTCTGCAAAATTAAATATTATAGAAAATTAAAGGATCTTAAAAGTAATTATAAACGATTTGCACAGTGATGATAAGCACTAAATCAATGTAAATTTAATAATTAAAGAGAAAGAAACTTAAACTACATATTATTTTCAACTTTATTTTTTTTTCAAGATTCATATCATATTTATTTTATTAATTAATTTTTTATTTTTGTCTTAAACTGGAATAAAATTTGTCTAACAATCTTCATCAATGAGAAAGGCGAGGAACATACAGTCATGTCTTTTAAATATAAATTGTAAAAAGATTAAAACATTCTGGAAACAAACATTGAATTTCAGGAGGATTCAAAGAAGATAGTTGAAAAGTGAACTACAAAACGAAATTCTATATTTAAGGATCCTATAAATAATTTTTTTTTTTTATTCGGAAAATTTCAAATAATGCAGAAAAACTCGAAAAATCAAGGAAAATTAGTTTATTTTTATTGTATTATTTTTTTTAATTTCTTTTACAATATTTTCACGATAGTTTAGCATGTGAAATGTGTCCTGTGTTTGAAATCAAATGTCTTTCTTGGTGAAAGAAAGCATATTGGAATTAAAATTAAATTCAGTTAAAATGACGGGAGAAAATTTCAAATTTCAAGTCTGTCTAACTCCCTTTAATATTAAGTTATAATTTTCAAACTCGGACTTAAACTTGGCCTCTATGAGCCGAACCACCCTACAAAGGAATATTTTTATGGACCTATTAGGGGGGCTGCAAAGGCCCCTTAAGTCTTTTGTTTAGCTCACCGGGAGAGGGTACTTGAAGCTATGTAGTAGCCCGATCTCCGTATAAACGTGGTTCAACGGCTAAGACTGCGTGCTAGTGACTTACGCCTTAAGCGAAGGGGTGCGGGTTCGAACCCCATCTGAGGATAATTTTTGAAATTTTTTATATTTCTTTCTTTTGTTTTTTTTTTACATTATATTATTTATTTATTGTGTTTTTCGATATATTAAAGAATCCTATACAAAAAAATATTTTTTTTTTATTTTGGAAATTTCAAATAATGCTTAGAAACTCGAAAATTCCTGGAAAGTTAGTTTATTTTTTTATATATTTTTTAAAATTCCTTTTACAATATTTTCACGATAGTTTAGCATTCGAAATGTGTTCCATGCTTAAATCACCTTAATCTATCTAAATTAGTTTAATCTAAAAATTTTATTTCGTGTTAATTTTATGAGCAATTCAATATTTTTTGAATTAAAAATAAGCAAAATAAATGGAACATAACATTGACTTGAAACTGCATTTGAGTCCGCGTGTCCATTGTTTAAAAATTTTTATGTCAAAATAACTTTTGTTCTGATGATCAGATTTTCTGAGAGAAATGCCAATCTTAATGCTTCAAAAGGGTGACTTCAAATTTGCAAATTAATTAGTAGTAACGATTATTTAAGTTAAGCAATCGGACAAAAACTAGCATTTTTTCCGAATCAACATACCTTTTTTTATAGATTTGAATTCTGACTTAGCCATACTCAAAAATATGGGGAAGGGGTAGGAGCAATCTGGAAAATATTGTTCAAGTAGTTTAGTTAGGACAGCTATCGAGAGTTTGAACCCTTTAATATAAATGTTAATTTCAATTTTTGCGTATTTCGTTTAGAAAATTTTTACGTGAATTAAAAGAATTTTGCAAACAATCAAATAATTAATTTACCCAAGGATAATTCCAAGTAATAAATGCTTATCATAAATTGCTATAACGTCATCTTTCATATTAGGTCGAAAAATTTAGAATTGTAAGGCATATATAAATTTTTACACCACTTTAAACTATTGTAATTTAAATGACAAAATACGAAAATTGAGAGAAATTGGATTAAAAAGCTGAATCATTTCTAAAAAATATTAAACTGGTTTTGTTCAAGTTTTGTATTTTATAATTTAAAAATTTAAAAAATTACACAATTTAAAATGAATAAAAAATTTCCTTACCATACAGTTCAAAAAATTTATGATCCTATTAAATATAAAATTTAAAAAGGATAAATAATTATTAGAATCTATATTTTGCATGAAACTATATTTAGATATATGAATTTTTAATTGCATGCAAAATTTTTTCGATTACATAAGAAATTTTTCATTGTATCGCGAAATATGCAAAAAGTAAAATTAAACATAAATGGTCTTTTAACCTCTCTCCTGACTCAACTTTTAGGATTACGTTTTTTTAAATTGTGGTTACTCACCCCCCTCATATTTGATAATAAAAAATCCTAAACGAACAAAATGCCACACGTTTTGTGTAACCTATTTAATCATTGTAATTAGTTGACATATTTAAAGTCTTTTTCTTGTGCTATTAAGATTGGCTCTTAGTTGGCAGGAATTTAATCATTTTAGCATTTAGAATATCTTTTCTACTTAGCACTCTGCGCACTATGATCCTACAAGTCTGGAAGGAACCTTCTAAGTTTTTGACATTTTTTTAAACTTCTTACAGGAAATATTTTGACTGTACTTTAGTAGCACTTCACTTACGTGATACGAGAGCTGTACAACGGGCCATTCACGACTGTTTAGGAAACATCCCTGAGAATGATCCGAAGATATGCCATCATAATTTTGATCCTTTGCTGAGAGATGGCTCCTCAGTTTTGGTAACCAATGACCTGCGAGTTGGACTTTAGAACGAATTGGAATTAGGAAAAAAAATTGCGTTTATCTATAACTAAAAAGACCCTTACAGAACGTCCAATTTCGACGCTGTAATTGCATTTTAGTAGGCAGTCGATCAATCATCATGTTTCTTTCTTTTTTTTACTAGGTACAAATTAAATAGTAAATTATTCTCAAACTAATAATCAAATGTTTATTTCTTTTTAATTTCATTGCCCTCCTTGTACATTTTTCTACACACTATCATAATTTTCAGATTGTAAGTCTTTTACATTTTTTGAAATTGCACTTCTATGGCCTGTAAAGTAGCCAACTAATTATTTTTTCCTATAAGTTTAAATGTTAATAATCTTCAACTATTTATCGAACGTATAATTTTTCACTCGTAATCCCTGTACACTTGAGAATTAAGAGCAATTGTAAATGGTACTTCACGGAATTCAATTGCTACCTTAAATTGAGGTTACGTTCACTCAAGTTTTAATGCCGAATTATTTTTTACAGGTATTACACTTATTTCGTATAACTTTGATAGTAGTATGAATAATGAAGTATATGCAATATATTTGAAATGTTTACCATCTCTAGCATAGAGTAAACAAAATAAAAATTAGTTATGAATGTTTTACTGACGCTAATATTTTATTAATTTTTTTTACAGACAAAAAATATTATGAAGTCTCAAGTTTTGCTAACTGAAGGATTTGACCACGGGAATTACATATAAGAGTTGACTGCTATTGAATTATTACACTCTGTTTAAACGCTTACTTTTAAGAACCGAAGTTTTCTTCGTTGGTTTAATTATTTTAAATAATTAACTTATGGAATGTTACCAATCGTTAAGTGATGCAGAAAATGCTGCTAATAATTCATCTCCAGACAAGGATATGATAGCTGCATCGAAATCTCCAGTTTTTGATAGCTCTAATAAACGATTTGTGGAGTTTATGGATGGCACTTTTTTCGAAAAAATAAATGATAAGTGTACAGAAAGTATGACAGTTGGAAAATGTGTAAAATGCCTACCCGATATTATAGAAATTAAAGGCTTTAGGAACTGTACATCAAATTATTACAAGCATTTAAAAAGGAAACATGGAAATGGTTGTCTCGAAGAATTTAAATCACATCTTAAGATGCAAAAAATTAGTCATAGAAATTTCTGCTCAGATAACGTCACTGCAAGCAACACCTACACTCAGGAAATGTTCAATGAAGATCTTGTGAAATTTTTTTCACATTCTATGATACCTGTAAATTGTATAGAAGATCCATACTTCGTAAATATTTTAGAAAAACTAAACATTGAAAAATGCGGTTTAAAAGTGATCAGCCGGAAGACTTTAGCGAGACAACTCAGTAAATGTTTTGAAAAAAAACGTAGTGTTAGTTAAAGAAGAATTGAAAAATGCAAATCATGTTTGCACCACGATAGACATTTGGTCTGGTCGAAAAAGGAGTTTTTTTGGTGCAACCGCCCATTGGATCGACCAGACGTCCTTGCAAAGAAGGTCTACAGCACTTGTCTGTCTGAGATTCAGTGGGGATCATAACTATGAAAGAATCAATGACATGCTGCAGGGGATTCATGATGAGTTTGGGTTATATGCTAACAAAATCGAGGCAACGATAACCGATAATGGAAGCAACTTTGTGAAAGCATTTGAAATGTTTGGCATACATCCGGCCAGGATTATTGATGGATATTTGAATATCATTGATCCTACTGAAGAAGATGATATCAAAATTCGGGAGTACTCAGATATATCTCAAGACACGGATGACGGAGAAGTCGAAATCGTAGACGATAACTTGAGGAAGAGCTTACCAAAACACTTACGATGTTGCTCTCATACGTTTAATTTGATTGCACCTTCAGACGTCAACAAAGCAATAAAAAGTGACGCAATACTCAACTCAATACATCAGAACGTTCTTAGCAAATGTAACAATCTTTGGAAACGTTCTAACATTCCTAAGTCTGCAGAAATAATTAAAAATACTTTAGGACACACTTTAAGTCGACCTGGAGTCACTCGGTGGAATAGCTTATATGATGCATTGAAGCAAATTTTGAGTATTAAAGATAAAAACGTCAACCTTCATAAAGCTTTAGGGTTAAAAATTATGATACACGAAAATGAATTTGATTATATGGAAGAATATTTAAAATGTTTAAAACCGATTTCCGAAGCTTTGGACATTCTTCAATCAGAAAAATACACATTTTACGGAATCACGTTGCCCACCCTATTAGCCTTACAAAAAAAATTAAAATTTTATGTTCGATTGATATGCTGCATTGCAATGTAATTAGCCAATCAATATTAAAGAATTTCAATTCCCGATTTTCAGCTTTTCTAACCCTTACTGGACCAACTGCTGAATATGCTATACTAGCAGCATTAAGTTACCCTCGCTTTAAAAACCAATGGTTTTCTTGCGTTGATGCATCTGAGCACACTCGATTGAAAAATCTTCTAATTTCCGTCATTACAAAAGAATTCAGTGAAACAGCACAGCCTATTATCAATAGCAATGTAACTAAAGAAGAAAACGAATTTTTTGATTTTGACATTTACAAAGATTGTTTACTAGGAAAACCAAAAGGTAAAGCTGAATTAATCATTGCGAGTTTCTTTTCAGAAGAAAGTCAAGATTTAAAAATACTCAATCGGTATCCAGAAATAAAGAACATATTTTTAAAGTACAATACACCCCTACCATCTTCTGCACCAGTAGAGCGACTGTTTTCGTTTGCGACTATGATCAATACTCCAAAAACAAATAAGCTATCTGATCAATTATTTGAGGAAAGAGTAGTATTAAAAACCAATTTAAATCACGAAAAAAATATTTTAAATATGGTTGTTTAAGTCATTATTTTGAAAAGTGTGATATTTATAGTTTGGGGTACATCTGATTTCAGATTTAAAAAAAAAATAGTTTTCAAGGTCAGCTTAAATCAAAATTGAATGCTTTAAAAATGGCTTTTAATTTCATGCTAGGCTTCTTAAACATATATTACTTACATGTCATGAAGTATATTTATTACATTTGTTTATTTGTAATTTTGTTTTCTGCTAATAAAATTGTGTGAAATATTGTGTGAATTATACATTGTTTTAAATAAATTTACTTGGTTTATTAAATTATATTAAATACTTTGCTTACCAAAAATATTGTTTTTAATTATTTTTTTCAAATTCAGGTTCAACCGTGACAACTTTAAAACTATCAGACCTATCCACTTAGAAGGGATGTAGAGTACTGAAAGATACTTATAATTTTTTTGCGTAATTTCACTATTTGCATACTTCAGCCATGTTAAAGAAATTTTGTGTTTTAAATTTTTTGTACATANATATATATATATATATATATACACAACAAAATAAATAAATACAAAAAAACGAAGAAAATTAAGAAAAATAAGTATCATTTATTGCGCATAAGCTGCAAGTAAAGAGAACTCATAAAATGAGTTCAAAGTGAAGATAAAACAATGGAAAATTACAAACATATGAAAAAAGGGGGAAGGAGAAAAATAATAATAAAAACAACAAAAAGCTGGAAAAAATAATAATAATAATTAAAAAAAGGAATAATTTTTTTTTAAAAATCCAGAAAAGAAAAGATATAATCTTTTCATCAGCGCACACGATTATATCCGCAAAAAAGAGGGCTTTCTGATATTGTATCAATATAGCCAAAGCAAAATATATCAATACAATAGTGTGAGGAATACTCAAAAATGCTTTAAAATATATCAATACGATAGTGTGAGTGCTCCTCACACTATTGTATTGATATATTTTGCATTATTTTATATTACTTTCCATTATTTTATCTTCATTTTGAACTTATTTTATGAGTTCTATTTGCTTCACAGATGTTCCGGTTAGGTCGTCAACTGAGTATGGACCCCCTCCCTCCAGAGTTTAGTTCCCAAGCATGCGTTTAAAACATTTATCAAACTGCTGAAGGAGTGAAAGGCTGAGTCAACCATGCCACTGGTCCGAGGATCGAACCCAGTGTGTGTGTGTGCGTGTGTGTAAATAAATCGTACATGCATGCATGGGGCATACATTGTACAAACAATCTATGTATGTTCGTACAAACAACAAGTACTTGTATGTACATGCGTACATGAACATTGCTATATATTTTACATGCATAAGTGTTTGCATAAAATGCATAAATTCATTGTGTATTAATGTCATGTACATGTCTTTATTTTTCGCACATGCATACGCAATTATTTGCTGTGTACATAAGTACATATATCTTATACTAACAATATAAGTGTATGTACATTTATGTGTCACTAAAATGTCTGCACAAATGCACTAGATAAAATCATATGTACATACATTTTAGTTATATTCATTCGTACTTATACAAATACGTACAAAATGTATAATTATAAGATACATTATACTATCTACTGTAAAATATAATCATTTATAAGAATACAATTTTCTTGTAATCGTGTATTTAGATTACATGTAATCAGATTACATGTAATCAGATTACATGTAATCAGGATTACATGTAATCATATATTATGATTACTTGTAATCACGATTACAAGTATTTGATTACTGTAATCAAAATTGTAATCATGATTACAGCTGTAATCAAAATTTTCTGAAAATTGTAATCACGATTACAAGTAATTGATTACTGTAATCAAAATTGTAATCATGATTGTAGCTGCAATTAAAATTTGTAATCATGATTACAAGTAATTGATTACTGTAACTGAAAAATGTAATCGATTACATTTTCGCTCTACTCTGATGTAATCAAAAAATTTGATTACTTGTAATCGCGATTACTTGTAATCCTGATTACAAGTAATTGATTACATTGCTGTAATTATCTGTAATCAATTACAGTTGTAATCGATTCCTGTAATCGATGGCCAACTCTGATCCGCAGTCCAAATTTCAGGAACTTAGCACTGAGGAACACACATACTCTTTACAGATTGACACACAAACTCTTCGTCTTATTATTAATACAGGGATTCATTGCTATTCTTCTTTAAAATATACGTTATCTCTAAAAGGTTATATTATTTGTACCAATTCACCTAATAGAACTTTAAGAATGAGATAATACGTATTCAGAATTCAAAAATATGCTTGAGGGTCACTTCTAAGAATGACTATTTCTTAACATAGTTATATAATGGAATGTCAAATGCAGTGTAAAGCTTTAATTGTATTCTATTTAAATCTTTTTCTTTGTAAAAAAAGCATGTTTGACATAAAGCTCAAAGGGCTTTTGTATAAGAAGATTTCAAGGATTTACAAGAACTGTCAAAAACATAAAATTACTTATCAAGCTAGATTTAAGAAAAAGTGCAAGAGACATGCGAATTAAATAAAGGATATTAATATTTTTTAATAGATTTTACTAAATGGCAATTTTAAATATACATTTTAGTAAAATATCTAAGTATTAACTAATCTGCAATGACAAAACTTTATTATTATATAATATAAATTGAAAAAAAAAATGAATACGTATTTTATTTTAATGAAATAATTCCAAGAAATTGAAGCAGTTAGATATTACTTTATTAAAAACTTTATTCACTTTAAAGCTCAAATACACAAAATATACAAACAAATAACATACAAACTGGAAATAACAATCGACATGTTTCAAGGGCTTAAAACATGCGCCTATTTTTAGGACTTGCTAAACGTGAATGAGAAGAAGCAAAAGTGATTCAATATATAAAACGTAAAGTTGCCAGCAAAGAATGAAAAAAAAAGGTGAAAAACAAAACTAGTATAACCACAGTAGCCGAGACAGAAAAAAGGATGAAATTCAGAACAAAGAAAACCACATTGGACGAGAAGGGTAAATCAGGGTGAAATGCATTTTCACGAGCTAGGGAGAGGTGATGAGGAGTTTGTGATAGTAATGTGATTGGAGGTAGCTCATCTCGATACCCTGGAATCTTGTTTTATTCATATGAATGATGATTCTTTTGAAAACGACTTTAGTTCCTCATGATCTCTCCATACAATGCATTTTATCCTGATTAGTTCCTCTTGGTGTTTTTTTTTATATTTTGTTTTTCAACTTTTTTCTTTCTCGGCTACTGTGGTTTCTATTTTTTAGTTTATCAGATTTTTTTTCTTTTACATTTAAACGTTTACATTTAAAACGTTCACATTTAAAATCACTTACGTTTTACATTTATAATCACTTTTGTTTTGTCTCATTCACGCCTGGCAAGTCTTGAAAATGGGCGCTTGTTTTCGAGCTCTTGAAACATGTCGATTGTTTTTTTTAATCAATATATTTTTGAAGCAAATGAAGCTTTTAGTCAAGTAATGTATTTTATTTATTATTGCTTAATATATATATATTGCTAAGGATAGATTAAAAACTAATGATTTTTAACCCATGAAAAAAAAAAACCTAGATACTGTGCAGATATAAAATGATCCCTTTTTAATAACCATGTTTTATTATTTTTAACTTACGTTATAAAAAAAATTTAAAGCTGAAAAAAAAATTCACCGAGATTAAAAAAAACACATTTTTTAAAAAAAAAAGAAAAAACGTAATTTCTTATTAAACTTTTACACTTAGTATTGTCATCAGAGGAGATCAACCTTTAAACTATCCTGTACAACCACTCTAATATATTATTTACGAGACGTATCACTGCTGTTGTCAGCGTTTTTAGAATTTATTACATTTTGAAATATCTCTTTGATTTTCTTAAAAATAGACTAAAATGATTATTTATTAAATAATTTTTCGTTAACTTAATTTTAAATGTAATAAATATTTTTCTTTAAAAATTTATGTTAGAAGGTATAACAATATAGTACTGCCAGATAATGTTATCCGTTGTCTAGAACTCGTTACGAAGCCTGGAAGTTATAACATGCGTATTTTAGTCAAAGCTTCTTTTTTTTTAAACATTTAAAAGGCTTAAGTGTGATTTTTTACTAAATTTCAAAACTATAAGAGTTTGAATACTCTTAAACAATCAAAACTATACGTAATATTACCCTCAGTTTTCGAGATAGTTTGCTGTTTGCTAGTCTGACATCTGAAATGAAATTCTGAATCGAAAAAGTAAGCTCTGAAAAAATATAATAACTTATATGATAAATTTGGAAAACTATGTTAAGTAAAAGTGTTTTTTTTCCTTTATAAAAGCCTTATCCTTCGTTTAACGAGTCTTAATCATCGAATTCAATTGATCTTAAAGAATTTTATTAATAACAAGTTTTTCATTCAATTTTTAAATTAATGATAAATATCATTAAATTGTTAAAAGTATTCTATAAAACGTTTTATTCTAATACCATGTAGATAAAAAACTAAGCACAACAAAACTATTTGCTGTAATATTGATAATATTGATCACATGAGATAAGTGAATTATATCTTTTTCCATCAGAAAATCTTTTTAAAAAATCGAGGCTACATTTTTGTTACTTCTCATATAATTTTTTTTCTTATAATTATAACTCAATTTCTCCTTTTCTTGACTCTTATCAGATGTTAAAAGCAAAAACAAACAAACATCGAAACCTCTACGCTTATCTGCATCAGAAGTTGACATTCAAAATTTGTAGTTTTAGCTTATTCATTTGTTAGTCCTTTTAATATAAAACATGTTGTGACGGAAGGTTTGTGTCTCCGTCAGTAGCCGCCCATAGTTGTATAATGTAGTACATGGATTTTCATTTAGGCCATTAATGAATGAATAGAACAATTAAGTTTCCAGGAAATAATGTACAAATCGTTGAATGCAAATTTAGGTTTTATTAATCATAATTTAAGATTTCGACAATGGCCACATCTTCATCCAAAATAAGAAATCCCTTAAAGGGATGAAATTAGAAAAATACTCTCTATTGAGAGATCATGCAGCCAGAATAACATTTCTGACGGTTAGAAAA